AAGACCTCAACGAGCAGTTCAAGAACCACCTAGCCAACTCGGAGCCACTAGACTGTAAGCAACTAAGATGCATTATACAGCACACACACGTATGTATAAAACAGAAATTGTGGAATTTGTATGCTATAACACATTCCTGCGGAGGGAGCTGGTAGGAATGTTGGGTTGCTCGGTCAATGGCCAGGGTCAACGGCGGCGTGGTGTATTCCGCAAATATGCCCGACTGTGAGGGTGGGCACAAGCCGGCGTGAGTAGGTTAAACGTTGAGTTTTATAAGGGCACCACGGGGTGACCAGCCCCTCCCCACCCAGTTCCACCCTCCCCTCCCCACCCAGCCCCTCCCTGCACGACAGACGGACGGATACAATACTCCCCTGTGGGCTGGTCTAACCAGGAGGTTCCTACCAGTATAATTGTTTTTTGATCTGAATTGCAATGGGTATCCATTGTGAGCTAATTATAACATGTATCACTTTGTAGTGGACTTCAGCATCCAAGTATTGAGCTCTGGCTCCTGGCCTTTCCAACAGTCCTGCACCTTCGCTCTACCATCTGAGGTACAGCCACACAGGTTGAACATGTTACGGTAATGTCTCTGATGAATTTACAGAGTCGTTAAGGCCTTGTTCAAGCAGTTTCTTTGGTTTTGCTTGTAAAAGTGCTTCAGCTTTGCTGACTGTGAAATACAATCGGTGCTGTGCATTATTTTGTATTGCCAAAACATAGCATTGCAAATCCTCCTCCTTGTGCCCCCAGCTTGAGAGGAGCCACCAACGTTTCACCACGTTCTACTCAAGCCAGCACAGTGGCCGCAAGCTCAGCTGGCTCTATCAGCTGTCCAAAGGGGAGCTGGTCACCAACTGCTTCAAGAACCGCTACACATTGCAGGTCTGCATGCCTCACATTTACAATTGGAACAGCTACGGTTGTTGCATATATTCTAGACAACGTGCAGAGCCAAGACTGCTATGTCAAGAGAATTTCATATCCTTAAAAGCTAAAACTGTTGCACCAATTCAAATTCCGCTTGGTTAAAAAAAAAATCACTTCAGGCACCTCACTGTACAGGAATCCCCTACTATCAGTTGCCTTGTTTTGCATATGTTGCTGATGAATTGGGGAACATTTCCTTATAAGTTTAAATCTTCGCCTTGTGTTTTTACATGTTTCGCGCAGTATTTAAACTCGGAACCAACATTCGTAAAAACAGATTTTTGTCATGTAATCCAGTACTGCATGAGAGCGTAGTGTGCAAACGAAAATCTTCATAGAAATAAAGATAATGCATTTCATGATGAAGTTACACTTTCAAAGTAAACACCTGCAAAACCTCTGTTTTGAATAGATTGTCTACGTCACATTAAAGTGTGCAATTTCAATTTTGCCGGGAAACAACCATGCAGAAGTGACTGCTCACTTGCATTGCCCTTGGTGCATCGTGTTGACTCAATGCGTTTGCTGCCCCACAGGCGTCAACGTTTCAGATGGCGGTTTTGCTGCAGTACAATTCGGAAGATTCCTACACCGTACAGCAGCTGCATGAGAACACGCAGATCAAAATGGTAGGTGCTCAAGTGAATGTGAGCAAAAAGGGCTCCTCCACCTAATATGGTAATCTTCACATTCTTTTCGCAGAGATATTTTAATTCCGATTTAAAGCTTTCGTGACTGCAGGGATTCATCTTCTTGGTTCTTTCGGTAAAGTCACGTAGAATGACTTTACTGAAAGAACCAAGAAGATATTTGAATTCGTTTTGCCAAAATATGATTATTAGCTTGTAGCTGTCATCTGCCTCCAGAGGTGGAACGATGTCAATGGAGAACTGCTGGACCCAAATTCGTATTCTTTGGTTCTTTCGGTAAAGTCACGTAGATTAAAAAATAAAGTGAATAAAAAAAACAATAACATTAATGTAGACTGGAGCCTGGTTATTAAGTTTGAGTGTACTGGCAGTCTGTAATGTAGACCAGCAATGGTTATATTAAGCTGTGCTGGACCCAAGTTTGTGACTACCCTTTTTTAGATTTGTAAATTGTATGCTTTTGTTTGTATTTTTTTTCTAAATCTTTCTCTTCTTTGATCGTGTCTTGATTTCATCTAATTCCAGGACATTTTGGTGCAAGTGTTGCAGATCCTGCTCAAGTCTAAGCTTTTGGTGCGTGACATTTAAATACCAAGTCTCTCACAATCCGCACAGAAGCAACCATTTGCTTTTGAATGAAGGCTTTGCTAAAGGTTACCCTTTAATGTTGTGGATGCAGGTGTTGGAAGATGAAAACACAAATGTGGATGAGGTGGACCTGCAGCCAGAGACTCTCATCAGACTGTTTTTGGGCTACAAAAAGTAATCTCGGCTTTTAAATTGTTTTGAAATATTTTCTCACATTGTCACTGCATTGTCGAATGCAATGTTTTTGTAAAACAAATTAGCGTTTAAATGCAAATGGTGTCTCACTATGCAAAATGGCAAAAGTTAGTTTTTTTTTATTCTAGATTTGACGCTTTCGTGACTGCAATGATTCATATTCTTAGGTTTTTTCGGTAAAGTCACGTAGGTAAAAACATTAAAAAGTAAAATAAAATAAAAATCACGACGTTTCGGAGGCAACACAAGATTCCGTCTTAAGGTGGTACCGTCTTCAGGTGGTACCATTTTTTTTAAATGGCCATTTTCCACATTTTATATGCATACTTAAGTGTGAATATAATCTGATGGACACAATAACATGGGTCTACATGCTCCATTGGGCATTGGGAGGAACTCTGCTGGTGAGTTGTGACATGTGGCAGAAGTGACGGGTGTGTGACTCGCTCGTGCGTTTGACTGGCAGCAAGAAGCTGAGGGTGAACATCAACGTGCCGATGAAAGCAGAACAGAAGCAGGAACAGGAGACGACACACAAAAACATAGAGGAGGACCGCAAGCTCGTCATACAGGTCGGCGAGCCTGCTTGGGTGGCATTGTGTGTGGATTGCTAGAATGCAGCACAGTAATTGCTATTTGCATTGCCGCTTGAGTGAAGATCCCATTTTCATGCCAATCTGTACAGTGTGGCATGTATTAGTTAATTCTGCAATATAAAAAGTACAGTGAGCAATGTGGCACCTCTTCAGAGCATTTTAACCTACACTTTTACGTTTAAACTTTTTTTGCTTTTTAAGTTTGGTATACTTTTTTATTGTAAATGCGGTGTGTGCATACCCTTTACTGCCCAGCAGCAATACATTTCAGTCTCAGATGTGCAAGGTTTTCTTGTCAGCTTAACACTGGATTGTTCCCATCCATTATTCCATGTCCACAGGCTGCGATTGTGCGCATCATGAAGATGCGGAAGGTGCTCAAACACCAACAGCTGCTGGCGGAGGTGCTCAACCAGCTGTCTTCCCGTTTCAAGCCACGTGTGCCCGTCATCAAGGTGCAATTAACAAGTTCCTTTTAGTTAACAATGCTTGTTTGAGGCACACACCTTTGCTATAATTTTCCACATGCTGTACTTTGGTCCCACTGGTGAAACTGTATACATTCCACGTGCCGACTAATGCCTTGCTCAATGTTTATCCCACAGAAATGCATCGACATGCTCATAGAGAAGGAATACCTGGAGAGGGTAGATGGAGAAAAGGACACCTACAGTTACCTGGCCTAGGCAAGGTGTTTTGTGGCTGGGCATCCCCCCCCCTGCCACCACCTGCTGGTGCTATGGTTCTGCTGCAAGCAGAAGCTGCAGTTTATTTGAACTCCCTGTGGCTTCAACATCCCTGGTCGTGCACCTCACGGTGAAAGGAACCGAACCGGCACTGCTCACTTATATGTAAATTCTGTGCTGTTTATATTATATACTATTTTATTTTACCAGGCAAAGCCCACTTGAGCGATTAGCTCTTTTTCAGGTGACCTGGCCACATGTGGTAGCTCATCAAGTGGCTTGTATCATGTGGGAATTGATAGTAGCCAATAATCTAAACGCATGTTTCTAAACGTGGAGGGCAAAACCGGAGGACCCGGAGAAAAACCACGCAACCATGGGGAGAACATGCAAACTACGAATATACAGGCATCTTCAGGGTCGATCGAACCCACGACCTCCTGCATATAAACTTGTGCATACTTGACGAGACGTCGCATGTATAAAAAAAGCGCTGTCACCAGCAGCTTCACCATTGGACTGAACGTCATTTTAAGCATCTGGCTTCATTGCGAGTTGTAAGAAAAACCCCACTGTCTACTGCCAAGTGTCTATTGGAACATTTAAGTGTAACTTCATTGTGTAATATCCACTTTTTTGGTTTGCAACGTTTTGCTGTATCCACTCAAGTTGGTATTGTAAAGGAAGGCCAGGATTGTTTCTTGGGTTGTAAAGGTCAGTTGATTAGAAAACCATAACATAACTGAATATATTGATGGTTTATTTGCTTAAAGGTGATGCGTCTCCATTGTTGTTTCCTGCATGGCTTGCTGCAACGATGGATTTGTTTGGCTTTGTTCCACTTTCAAGTGGGAAACTGAGCCTTTTTAAACAAAAGTCCTTTAACTTGCCTTCAATACAAATAACATCAGTCTGCCAGTGGCTATATAAAGCGTTTTAAAGATTAAATTAAAAAGGTGTGAAAGTGTGCGTGCACGAAGAATTGTCGACTCCAGCTGTTTTAATTGCACCTGTGATTTTGCTTGTAAACGTAAAACTGTTTCTTTTCCAACTGTGATGTATCCAGATATTGTGCAGCAAACCAACACTTGACATTTTGGCTGTGGATGGGGCATGTTTGGCTTTACAGTTTTATACGATTTTTTGTTGACTTTATACCCAATGGGGTTTTATTTTGAAGTCCCTGTAAATAGGTTTGTGTAGTTGATTAAACGGTAAAAACAATGGAAAAAAGTTTGCTTTGTTTGAAATTTATTTCCCATGGTACTTAATTTAAACTTCAAAGCAGTAGTCCATGCACACGCAGTGGTCAACACACAAAATACTGTAAACGATGCAAAGAAATGAAGCCATTGGTTACTGGAGCTTTATTTAACTAAAGAAAATCACACAACAGGACCAGTGACCTCGCTGATACAGCAGCAAAGGGACTGTTCACTACAAATTGCACAACTGCACATGGGTATATTGCTACAGCAGCTATTAGTTAATAAGCGAACAAGAGTTAGATAAGGGCTTCAATTCAATTACATAGAGCGTGTCCACTTAAGATGCAAAGCAAACGGTAAGAAGGTAGCTTTGCCACGAATGTAAAAAATTAAATAATTTCCATCTCTCTTTCAATACCAACATACTTGAGAGCATCTGCTTGGCTGTACCTGTGCACAGGAGAAGAGGGTTTGACAGTTAACAGCTATACTCATAGGTGTAGGCCCTTTCTCACCAATGCCAAGATCTCTCCCAAGGCATAAAATGGAAAGTTCCAAAACCAACAGGCAATGCCTACATTACTGACATGGCTACACAGGTGCAATGTTTGGAGTTTCATTTTAGACAGACATGCTTAAATGAAAAGTGGGGTAAAAAGGGCTTTTGTAACGGCACTTGATGCAAATTTCCCAACTGCAACAAATACTTGTATGGTCCTAGTGAAATAAAATGTTGCCAATTATATATTTCCCAGTGTTAATAGCACATGTTTTAGTCAGGCACACCCAGTGCTGCCAGGTCGGTGATTTGCACCAATGCAACATAGAAGCATCAGCTGTGTTTTCCAAAACGGTGGCCTAAGTGTTTTAAGATACACATACCAAGCATTTAGCCCTGTCCCAATGGTGTACCTGTAATCGAAGAACAGCTCTTCCCCAGTCTGTATGGCTCGTTTGGCAAAAATACCAATCCTGTGGTCCCCATTCACCATCATCACTGAATGAAAGACAATCACCGTTAGTGACTGCAAGTGGGGCTGTTATTTTTTGTTTACAAATGCTTGTTATATTGCTGAAAAAAGTTGTGGATATTTGCAAGTGATTACCTTTGGCATAGCAGTTAGGGCTGACAGAGTGGTTGGCAAACCGGATTTTGTTTCCCTTACGAGTGGCATCGACCACAAAGTCTGAAAAATAAAGTTTACATTCGTCAGGAAGGTTAGATCTGAGGTGTACTACTGTATCTGGCAGATAATCACCACTGGTGCAGAATTTCAAGTAATGTAAAAGGTAATATTATTTTTTACCAACGTGACTTTACCGAAAAAAACCTAAGAGTATGAATCCCTTCAGTCATGAAAGCTTCAAATCTAGAATTAATGTAAAAGAATCAATGCTTGACCTTATACAATGGTTCCTAACCTTTTTACAAGACTGAACCGTCAAACATTGTCCACCACCATGCACCAATATTTTTCTCAAACCGACTAAGCACTAATTTTTTTTTTTTCAAGAGCTGTGAAAAAAACTGGTAAACACGTGGTGAATGAACATACCGTTGTTGAGGTTGAAAAGAAAGCTACACATGTACTTATCGTACACCTTTCCTCGACGGTCTGCTTCATCTTGTGAGATTATCTGTTGGCATAAACAATTAACTTCAGCGGAAATCAAACTTCATCCATTCTCGTGATATTAAAAGGCAGTTTAAGATGCATTTAGAAATTGGGCGTATGGCTGAGCAAAGCTCCCCCCTACCTCCCCACAATATTCAGAGATGAACTCGTTCTTCTGCACGGGAACCTTGATGAAGATGCCCCATCCAGCGACGTCGGATGGTGCCAGGAGCAAGTGCTGCAAGACCAACCCCAACAGAGAAAGGCACAAGCTGGTGTACTTAGCCTTCAATAATGCTGTGGTGTGCAAAGGGTGGTGTGTGAGCGCTGCAAAACCAATTTGGGCTTTCACCTAGACCTTTTTAAATTATAATTTAAGAATATGTAACATTGATAAACTATACCATGTACAAAGAACATTGTGGGGAAAAACCCCAAAAATTTAGGCTGTGGTAAAACTCTAGCTTCATAAACGGTGTAACAAGTAAATCCATTACTGTACTTCACATGCTGCCCCACCTTCACCTTACGCACCGACCAGTGTGGGTCATAACTCGCACATCGAGGTGAGACTTGCCCTGCAGTGCATTGACAAAGGGGCTGTACACGTTCTGAACGAATAAAGAGGTAAAACAAGGGCACGAGCCGTTCCTCACTTTCTTGAGGCCACGCTGGATGCAGCAGTTCTTGCAGGACACATTGCGGTTGTCCCAGTGGTCTGCGGCACCGCATGTCTGGCACAGGTCTGGGTCGCACTCGCGCACCGCTAGGTAGCAAGGGCACTGCTTGGTGTTGCACTGCGCCTTGCAGCGGCATCCAGGGAACCGGTTCTGACCTGCATGGGCACAAGTAAAACGGTCTACTCGATTAGCCAGGGCATTGGTAGGTAAATAGTGGCCCATTTAAAACAAAACCGTGAATGATGCAAAACATGTAAAAATAAGGTGATAAAATCAGTGTACTGTTTATATATATATATAAGGGGGTGGGGGGGGGGCAGGTAAAGGCAAAAAATGTAGCCTTGGATTTTAATTGAGACTTAAAATCACCACTCCTTCCTCTTGAGTCACTTTGGCAGCAAGCGACTGTATGGGTGAGGAGCAGCTAATAATTTAAACTAACACGTGAAAAGGTGTTTTATTTATTTAAAATGGACTTCAATACATCATTCAAATAAAATCGAAATTGATTCAATCAAGCAATGTGTAAAAAGTGAACATATTACACTTCCACTTGTATACTGGAGGTCAGTAAAATTAACTAATTTGCCTCTCCTAAGATGTAATTAAGCAATTTTTAATGACGGTAAAATTACAGCAAAATTACCCACAATGCACACTTATATAAAAGCAGTGAAAACTCAGTAGGATAAACAGCTCTTTAATGTTTTTTTCTGGATTAATAGAGATTGCCTTTATTACAAGAGATTAAAAAAGATGCTCGTGAAACCCAAGCTTTGGAGTCATCTGTGTGCGTGGGTGAGCGTATGTGTGAGAGTCAGTTTAACTCACACTCAGAGCTGCACTGGCAGAACTTCTCGCAGAAGTTCTGAGCGTTGACGCAGGGACAGGAGCTGTCACACACCTGGCCCGGGTGGTCGCATGGCTGGTAGTTGTACACGTGATTGGATGACGAATCTGCAGTGAACAAGTGGAAGAAAATAATATGCCTTCATGTGTTTAAAGTATTGGGAGATGAACCGCATTTATAAGTCACAAAAAAATTGCGTAGCTTATTTTTTTTTGCCATTTGTCAATTCACCGCTGGATGAAGACCTCCCCCCATGCCAGTAATGGGGTTGGTTTTGACTATTTTTCACCAAGTTGGTTATTGTGGGTTTGTGGATCAGAGGCCCAGATAGTTAAAACATCACTCACCACTGTGGCAAGGAAATTAATTTGGGCCACCAAATTCAGAGCAGTGCGCTAACCACGAGTAGATGAATGTGTTAAATGCAATATATTTTTTGGCAGTTAGCATTGAGTGTCCAGAAATTAGACACCAAATAAAACATTTAAAACTGTTTTTGTTTAAACATGAAACGTACATTAATGTTTTGTTCATATGCCACTTTACAAGCCCTTGAGTGTTTACCTTTCTTTAGCTGTATTTTCCTGCAGTGAGCAGCCCATAGCCTGTAAAAACAGGGAGAGCAGGAGTGTAAACAACAGATGGCCAGTTGAGTTAAATTAAATGTAGAATTGCCATTTATTATATTGTGTTGCATCATTGGCATGGCCACTGTCCCATCACCTGTGCTTTCTCTTCTTCTTTCTAGGGGGTGTGTTGGCATCATCAGTAGGCACTCGAGGCATAACTGATGATTCTTTAACAGCAAACTCGTATACCTGAGGGCAGCAAATTCAACACGCGTCGAAAATTCCTTTTCGCTCCAGTCACCTTGCACAACTCATTCTTACCAGAAAACGGACAGGAAAAGCCATCTGATGGATTGCCTGAATAGTAATTGCAAAATACGGAACACCATCCCGCACCTGTCGACAAGATTTGGTCTCAATGAGGCGGGCGATAGCGCAGAAGTTGTTGAAGAAAGTCCCGTGCAAAACCCGGAATAGGGATTCTTCGGCTCCAGTCCACTCCACGGGATCAGCGCCGTCCGTCGAGTGTGACGGCTTGAGCCTCACGGGTGTCTCACATCGCGAACTGGTCTCCTCTGTGGCTGCTCCGTGCAGGATTAAAAACAATAAGCAGGGGTCATGCATTAGACAAATGCGAAAAATTCTGTTCATCATGAAACTACATGTAATCATGAAACTACATGTAGAGGATATATTCAGTGCCTATGACCAAATCACCCCGAATGTACCCAACCTCAGAAGCTAAGCATGGTTAATGGTTAAGCCGAGGAAATGCTTGAATGGGGGACCACCTTGGATAAAACAGGTTTTGTAGGCTGCTGCGGGGCATCTTGTCAGCAGAGGGCAGTGCAGTAAAATCCACTCCTATACAATGCTCCAACGCATATGCTTCACTGCCTCCAACTGTGCTACCAGTGGTCGAGTACTATCAAATAATCCCGACCCACAGCGTGGGGAGGCCTCATTCAGCAGTGGATTGACAAAAAGCTGTACATGGTATCTAATAAGTCTAACAACTGATATATAAATGTTGATTTAAAGCTTTCGTGACTGCAGGAATTCATATTCCTGGTTCTTTCGGTAAAGTCACATGGAAGGGAAACAATACCATAATACAAATATAAAACAATCAAATTCTCACCACGTTTCGACTGCAACACAAGCAATCATCATCATTCTACGTGACTTAACTGATATATACACACACGTATCTGTGGCCCATCAATATACATGCCAACAGAGTAAGGGAGACAACCCACCCGATGAGCTCGCAGTGTCCTCCTTCTTGTCCTCCTCCTCTCCATCGTGATCACTGTCCGTGTCCTTTGTCTCGGCCATGCTGCTGCCAGCAGCAGCCGGCGTCGCAGGGTTCATCTCCAGGACGGCAGCTGTGAGCGGCGTTTCTAGGTTGGTCTCGGAAGCCAGCACAACCGGCGTCCCGGGGTTCGTGTCTGTGGCGATGGTCGCAGGAGTGCTGGGATTGGTTTCCGTGGCCATAGTTGTCGGGGTGCCGGGCCGGCTGGGCTGGCCACCGCTACTTTCGCTGCCGCCCTCCCGGTCACTATCACCGCCGCCGCCATTCCCGCCACCGGGGGCCATGTTGGTGGGCGTGCCCGGTCGGCTGCCACTGCCCCCACTGCTGCCCGTTTCTCCAGCTACGCTCGTGGCAGAGATGGTGGTCGGGGTGCCAGGCCGGCTGGTCGTGCCGCCCCCATTGGGCTGCCGTCCCCGCCGCCGCCCCGGCTGCCTCTTGGGTGGTGTCTTGATTCGGTCAGCGGTGAGAGAATCTGCAAACTCTTTGGCGCCATTCTAAGTTTTCAGTGAAGAGAAATGAAATTAGGGAAAGCTGGACCAGAGCAAAAAGAACATAAGTGAAAAGTACTGTGTATTACAGTAGTGCACAGCCTCTTAGTTAAGATCACCATGGAGGCATAGCTACAATAAGCTTTATGGAATGTAAGTGACCCCATATTCCTTGAGCATCTTTTCAGCAAAATAAAATAATTGTTTTTTTATCATCATAAATACATCACTTCATCAAAGATAAGTGGCAAAGTAACAAAAGCCATACCCTGCCTTGCAGGCATGTTACTTTGGTGTGCGAATTACCAGGTGCATGAAACACTCCACCCCACAGGGCTCCGTCTCCATTCGGACCTCAGGGTTCTTGCGCTTGTACGTGTTCGGGGTGGCATGAAAGGCTGGAAAACAAATGACATGGAATTAAAACTTTGACTGCAGGAATTCATATTCTTGGTTCTCTCGGTAAAGTCACATAGAAAAAATAAAAGTAAATAAAATAAAATTTTAATTAAAACTATGACGTTTCCATCACAACACAAGCGATCGTCATCAGGAGGAACAAAGGGGGAAGGCCCCAGAAGGCAAGCTGCTTTTAAAGGTTTAAAAATGGCATGGCACAAGCGTCCTGGTAACAGAACGCAGTGGGCGGGGTATATGTGCCTTGGGGTCAGAAACCACCAAGGTGAAGCACAGAAGTTGACAGGAAAGGGACGAAAGCCTACAAGGAGAAAACATCACAACCAGTTATGACTTAAAGTGGTTGATGACGTCCTTCCATTGATTGCCGAGTTTGTACCCATCATCTCGGTTGAAATTGTCTCTGTCTGTATAGATGGATGGCTTCATGAACAAATTTTGTTGATAGCCAGTGGGCTTGCAAAGTACCATCGACTTGGAGAAATCAATTTCGTATGAGCCAACCGCATTAAAATAATGGATCAGCCATGGAAAAAGTTTAAAATCTGCCTTATGCTCACGAATACCGTCCGAGACATGTCGCTTAGTTTCCCCAATGTAACTGCTGCCGCAGACACAGCTTAGTTTGTAGACGCCGGGATATTGCATGTCAGGGATCTTTGTTCTTCACAGATGGGATCAGATCACGAATTTTATGCACTGTGTTAAATTTGTGATCTGATCCCATCTATGAAGGACAAGATTCCTGACATGCAATATACACACAACTGCAAAAACGTAAGTTGATAAAACCAAGCGCATAGGTCCGTTGGTGTAGTCACAGTACTCACGATGCAGGAAGCAGTCGTACTTAAAGCAGCGGCGACAGAAGAGTGTGTGGAAGGAGTGCAGGCTCTGCTCACGCTGCACAGAGCGTGCGTTGGGCCCATCAATGTTCGGTGTGCACTCAGGTGGCAGCGTGCCAGGGTCCTGCAACTCTGTCAGCTCACGGTACCTACACGCCAAAGATTGTAGGTCAGTGGGGTTTTCTACACTTCTCGTGCGTGTGGCGCTTTCAGTGAAGTAGCCTGGAAGACTTTAATAATAATTACAGAAATGACAGTGTGAAATTTGTTTTCATAGATTTAAAAAAGGATGGCTATTGTTGCATATATTTTTTGCGGTTGTTGTTGTATAGCATACCTCGGGTGCATGAGGTACAACCCAAAAAAAACTGCAGAGAGAATGGATGGCTGTGTGCATTTAAAACATTTATATTTGAGAATTAAAATATTTTAAAAGGTCCATGTTCAATAGCAATGACCCCATTTTAACTTGCTGTAAATCAGCTGCTACATGTTCCCCATTTCCTTTTGTCAAGATTATTAATCCAACTAAATTGGCACTTACTTTTCTTTCAGCTCATCAGGTGACCCTTTATCGGGAAACATGTTGGAAATTGCTTCAAAGATTTTGTCGTTCGGGAATTTTTTGGATTTCAGTCCTTCTGAACCTGAAACAAAAAATGTTACATTTAAACAAAGATTCCAGAATGGTCAGAGCCCAAAAACACTTGCACTGAGGATGTAGATGTCTGGAAGGCAATGAGATTGTCATATTTGTTAGGGAATTAAGAACGAAACCATGGTCGAGCACACGAAACATGTCCAATACCATCGGCGCTCTCAAAAATGCATGTTACCTCCTGCCACTTCCTCCGTTTCCATTCTTTCATCTTCATTTTCGTCATCATCCTCATCAGGATACTGCAGAAGGGCCTTCACCAGCTCCACAAAGATCTCGTCATTTATGAAGCCACACTCTGTATTGGGTCCATTCAATCAAGAGGGAAAGACAGATAATGACGATTGCATCTAGAATCTCAAATATGAGGGGCATACCAAGTTACATAATGAAAACAATGACACTGTCGATGACATCGACACACAGGTAGAGGTCGTTGAAAAAACTCACTGCACAATGTCATGCAAGGTTATGTTGGTTACAATTGTTTAACTGCAGTTTGAATAGAAAACCATTTCTGTAATGTTATCGTTGTTGTTTTGACATAGCTGCATTCTACACGTTGAAAACCTCAATAACATTTACTAATTTCCAAATGCAGGCGTCATTTGAGGAAGCCCCCTGTTATGCACTGCAGAAAAACCTGAACCCTTCTAAGTATATGTACTTGTTTGCTCATGTGTGGAGAATTGTGGTATTGGGGAGTAGTAGCATCACGGTTCATGCACTGCACTATGAGCACAGCAACTTGTGTTTAATTTCCAACCAAAAATAACATGAGTGGCGAGTGATATCAAAACTGGTCCCGGGCCTCCCCTTAGTCTCCTCAGCCTTACACGATTAACTGGTGGTGTCAATGTTTAGCACTGGAAAGACATAGGGGACCGCAGGTGGAGCTGCCATATGACCCCCTCGTGAGCCAAACCGGTTTTCATAGGCACTCACTATCAAGCAGCACTTGCCAACAGTCTGTTACAGCTATGCAGGGGATCTGCCTCTGTGTTATTGTGGTACCAGCAACTGCGATTCAATTCTGACCACACATAATGGTGTTGAATTTAATTCGAGTTTGTATATTTCACCTCTGTCGCCATGCACTTTGCCATCGTAGTTCTTGATAAGCTCCTCGATGAAGGCCCCGTCCTGCTCCAGTACCTCGTCTCCCATATAAGGGATATTGTGCAGAACCGTCTCATCCTCCACCTGCGCACAATGGACACGTTCACCTCTTTAGAAACACCAACACCCTGTACTGCCGCTTGCTCAAAGACCGTTGTTAGCCAACAATGGCTTTCACAAGGTCTCCTTTAATCCACGAGCTATGTGAACACGGAGAGTCACTAAATGTTTCCACAGAACATCTCTGCAAAGAAAACTGCTCAACTGCAGTGGTACCTCAATATGTATTGAATGTGAACAGCTGTATAAGTGATACATTATTTAAAACCTTCATGGAAGAACCGTTAAATAATCATAAAAAGGGTACTTTTCCCAAAGGGCCTGCATTGTGACTCGGCATCACAGGCAAATGTCTACACTGCTGGATAAGCGAGGGCCTACCCATGCCAGTCATGGGGATATGATCATACTTTTGCGACACTGATCAGTGCGAGTTAAACTCAGAGAGCATATACGTGACAGCACCGACTTACACTACAGAAATGTAATTTTTCGCACTACCCTCTGCTGCCCACCACGTAGCCTTGTAGCCCTATGCGAACATGTGCATTCTAGTCACTCATCAAAGTGCTTTACAGGCTTAGCTTCTGAGATCTGACAAGATCAGGTACATTTATTGGTGATTTGTTCCGAGGCAACAAGGCATACTTCAGTAATGTATGGTGAACTCACCATGAAGTTTTGTTGAAGCGGAGACCATGTGTACATGACTGGGATAGACGCCACAGCATTCAGGGTCCTCAAAGGGATGGTTTGGCTGGAAAATCCACCCACAATGCAGTCCGCCGCACACTGCACACAAAAACATGGAGCATATTCAAACGTAAAAGAAACTACTTTTAGAGCGACGAAAGCACTGCTCCATCAATCACTTGGCAGCACAAAACTGAGCAAAATTAAAAATGCAAAAAACAAAGCAACATAATTCAACATAATTGCAAAAATTAATCAAGTGACAATGTCATGGAAAAGTTTAGATGGAACCCTCTGACAACAGTTACTACAGAGTCCACAACAATAAAAACAAAATTGCAAATAAAAAAAATGAAAGCGAAGGTGGGAACACACTTTTCTCGAGACGGAGGCGGGCATGGCAGGGGTCATGACCTGGATGGGCTGAACCCGACGCTGCTTCCATTCCTCGTTTAGCACGTCCGTGCGATCCTTGATCTTGTGGCGGTTTGCTAAAAAAGCGCTCTGCAAAATAAATTACATCAACACGTTACATAGCCGAGGCCTTCGATGACAACACTCTCAACTCTATACAGAAGTATCTAGGTCAGGCATTATCGAGCAAGAAGCGAGGACAAAATTGCAAAAATCGTCAATGCGTAAATATCCCCAGTGAGGCACTTGTTGAGCTGCAGCAGAGAACTACCTTAACCTCGTCAGCACGGCGGAAGCGTTTCAGTTGCCGCAGACGCATGTACTCAGACTTGACGCGCTTGCGCCAGTCCACAGATTTGGGTCCCTTCCTCGATCCGCCGCCACCGCCTGCCGCCATGGTCCACTCTCCGATGGCAATTCAATCTCCTCACCACACCACCTGGACAGACAGATGTAGTTAGTACAATATATCTGCCACTTTATAGAAAATAAAAAAAAATATATAAATGGTTATAAATACTGACATTGTCCTTTTATGTAATCGTGTAACTATTTTAATTGATTACATGTTTTCCAAGGATTATTCTTTCTTTTAAAATTACCCATCCGGCTCAACAAATCGTTGACGTAACCAAACTGCAGGCACCACCACCGGAGAAACTGGAATACATGAGACGACACGTGTCGTCATGCAAAATAAAATGAGGGCAGTGGTCAGTTCAAAATATAGTTCCACCGTTGCTGCAAACTCTAAGTTTGAAGTGTGGTTGACATGAGCCCTGGTGCAAAGAAGGAAATTGGGTTCCCCCGTCCAATTTCCTTCCTCTTCGAAGCCCATCGCCTGGTCCCCAGTGAAGTTGCTTGCACTGACTACACAATATACAGCTACACCGTACACCACAATATCCAGGAAAACACATTATCACAGTACTAATTTCATAGAAACCACATATAAACAATACGTTCAACTTCATTATCATGATTTCCATGGGCCATGATGCAGAGAATGAAATGGTCCCCTGTCCAATTCCACCCATCTTTGTACCTCGGTGCCTGTGCCTCAGTGCAGTTGCGCTGCCTCTTCATAGCTACGGCGCCTCTTCATAGCTACGGCACTAGCAACGAGGCCGAATTAATGAATTCCCGTGTGCGGAGATTGTGGAGTGCAGCGAATGCACAGGTCATGGTGACCCCATATTATTTTCGTATAATGCTGGAACCGCACACACACCGCGAGGCACTCAACTTCCAAGTATTCAGTGTGAAGCCAAATTAATGCCCGCAGTGACTCTAGTCTCTCTACCTCACATCCCCAGGCAATCACAATTGCATTCATATCATTACAATCTGTACCCTTTTTCGTCCTGTTAAATTTACCCATCAATGCTCATGACGATATACGTACTAACTATTTAGCAATACGGTATCTGCATTATTCTTCTGACAGTTTATTTAGCAAAATTAGCTGCAGGAAATGTTATATTGTTAGGTGGGGGGGGGGGGGTTGAATCCCGCACGATGGCTTAGTCCATCTTGAGTTCTTTGACGTAGTATTAACGTTTGTGCCGACTTCGTTCACAACATCCACTAATTTAAACAGACTCGAGGGGCAAAAATCAAACCTATCGTTCCTTGCAGCGCGGGTTCACTGATGAGGACGCTCACCACTAGACTAACTAGGCACTCGTTAACCTCACTGGTAATGCTGTTTTAAACAAGCCAAACCCGTTACTACTTAGCCATAAACGATAAAGTCCCACTACTGCGAGCGGCGTTCGATTTCCGGACACGGATAACATCAGTGGGCTCGTGATCGGGTCTTGGTCGCCGATCTTCACCAGACCACACACGGGCCCGAGTGAGGCTAAGCAGCTTCCAAAAACGATAACAGGATCGTCTTACGTGTAACTATACATTTGCGTCGAACCGGGGCCAAAGTCTCCACGTGGAGGTTCTTGCCTCTAACATTTGTTAATTCGCCAATTTTGATTCAAGCAAGTCTAACTCTGCTGATGAGACGGTGTATACCGAAACCGGTCCAAGATTTATGGCACGTACTGAAATTATCACTGAACTTACGAGGAGCGTGGGGCCCTTGGGATGTGTATTAAAACAATTGTGTGCAGCTATATCAAGGAGAGCTGTCTCCGTTTCTATTCTACATTACACAATGATACATTTAAATACTTTTTTTTCAATCTAATCATTTACGGTATAAATGAATGTGTATATGGCCGAATATATAGTATTGGTGACGAGCATGTTGTATAGTATAACACTTGCTATTAATGGCATTGTTCGTGTGATATTTCCAAAGTTAACGTTCATGTCAGGTAGTCACGTAGGTAGAAAAAAAAATACCGAAAGAACCACAGAGTATGGATTCCTGCAGTCACGAAAGCTTCAAATCAAGATTGATGTCAATTCTCTTCATTTTGCGATCAATCGTGTTATGGTATTTACGTTAATGTCGATTGAGTTATTATTAGTGTTGAAATATGACGATAAACGTGTTAATGTTATAGCGGTTAATGGTATAATTGCTCTTAATGCATTACATGAATGTTAATTGCATGGCTTTAACACTGTATTGTTGATCAACTTGTTATACGTGATTAGTGTTGTTAAACGGTAGTTAGCGTATTTTTCAATCGTATTTAGCTTAAGATACCATAATGCATGTTGTGCACTTTTGTTCAAATTATATCGCTCATTGTTAAATAACAATAATGCTGTAGGAGTTGATACGTTAGAAGTGTTTTTATATTTAGTTTTCATCAACAGGCATGGTCAACTCTGCAAGGCCTAGCGCTTATTCGCGTTATTCATCGTTGCGTCTTCAGCATCGACCTGTGCTCAACTTCGCTTGCTCGACAAAGAACCTCGCGCTTTCCACTCGTGTTCAGTATTCGTGTATCATCATCATCGTCGTCGTCAGTGGCAGCAGGAGCCATGCGGACGAGCGAGCCCCCCGCGCTTGCCTGTGGCCACCCGCCGTGCCCTCGAGGCCTCGAGGCGGCGAGGCTACAAGGCCGCAACTGAAGCCTCCGCGCACACCACGGGGGGGGCGGCGGGGAAGGCCTCCCGTGCAAATCGCCGCTGCCTCGTCCTCCTTACCATCGACGGCTCCAATCACAGCGGCAAATGCTCGATCACACTGTAATTGCCGCCGCCGCTGCTATAAAGTGGACGAACATGATGGAGAAGAAGACGACATTTTTCGAATTGAAGCGAAAAGAAAAAAAACCTCCCGAGACAAAAAGCCACCACCAGCCACCAATCCGCGGCATGGGCGCCGCACGAGCCAGCGGACCAATCACGACGCGACTCACTTAGCTCCAGCAAGGACGACAGCCATTGGCTAGGCACTCACGAGTCCCCGTCCCTTTCCCCCTCCCTCGAGCCCCGCCTCCTTTGCGAAAAGGCCCCGCCTCCCTCTTACATCCATAATAGAGTTTTTTGGATTATATTCTTAGGTTTTTTCGGTAAAGTCACGTAGGTAAAAAATTAAAATTAAATTAATAAAAGTAAAATAAAAAATATGTTACTTTTGTTAAGTAATTTTTTTTACCTACGTGACTTTACCGAAAAAACCTAAGAATATGAATCCTTGCAGTCACGAAAGCTTCAAATCTAGAATTAAGTTTTTCCCCTCTTCCATGCCCGAGCCCTTCTTAGTTCTCATGCTCCTCCCCCCTCCTTCCTACAGGCCCCTCCCCTCTGTCCTACAGGCCCCTCCCCTCTGTCCTACAGGCCCCTCCCCCTGGACCCAGTTTCCGGAGCACGTCGCGGTGTGGGCATCACGTGGGCGCGACTAACCCACGTGTCGCATCGGGGGGAATTGCGGTGACATTGGCTCCAGGGTTGGTTGGTCACAGGCTTGAACTTTCTTATAGTTTCCATTGTGTGTGTGGTGGGGGGGTATTTATCTAATAGATTCAGGGATTTAATCTCCCGATCTTTTTTTGTTAAACCCGAGTTGCCTCCGAAACGTCGTGATTTATTATTACCTACGTGACTTTACCGAAAAAAAACCTAAGAGTATGAATCCTTGCAGTCACGAAAGCTTCAAATCTAGAATTAAGACTTGGAATAATAGGCACGCGCCTAGGTCGCTACATCGGTAGAGAGAGAGAGATGTTGTACTTGTTGTGGTGTGCCAGGTTCGGATATATATCATCCTATCGATGTGCCAGACAGACCCGGCTGGTATTAGACCTGAATAGATTGTAAATACTGTACAGTCGTAATTCAGATACCAAAAGCATCGTAAACGCCGGAATCTCTTGACCACACTAACTTCGATTCGTAACTTAATGTGAATCAACGCCCATAACTCTAAATTCAGACGCACAAGCGCACGTAAAATTAACTGATTCGGTGATACGGTACTGCGTAAAAATTTGGTTCTTCATGTGGAAAAAAACACCAGTTACAATCTTGATTTGAAGCTTTCGTGACTGCAGGAATCCATACTGTTTGAGTATGGACACCAGTTACAGTAAAGTGTTGTCAAACATACAAGGTGTTTAAAATGATGGACCCGATTTGAAATCACTATATCTCTGCAACCACGAACCGCCCATGAATGAAACTCTTACCACTTGAAAGGGCGGGGCATAGAGTTTCAAATGATTACCGCTAAATGCCTCTCCCAGCGCACAACCAGCCCCTAGCCTCAGTCATTCGCAAGACACACTGCCTCAACGTTGGATAGGTCGCACGGGACCCCAAGACTTGGCGCTACACTCTTGGCCCCCAAGATCCACAGACATCCACCACACCCTGCGACTTTTTCTTGTGGGGAGACGTCAAAGACCGTGTTTTTGTGCCGCCATGAGCGACTAATCTGGATTACCCCAAAAACAGAATCACGGCAGCGGTGACTTCACCCTTTTTTGGCCCCTCTCTCCCGATACTTTCCATTCATTGGCTACCACATTCTGATGAGCCCCCCCCCTCTCCTCCCCCCTCAACTCGCTTTTAAGGGATTACATCTTGAATCATTGCCTCACTTGATGCAGCTAATCTGGCTGTGACTGTCCCACCTGATGACGGAGACTTGTGTTGCCTCCGAAACGTCGTGATCTTTATTTTATTTTATTATTTTATTAATTTTGATGTTTTACCTACGTGACTTTACCGAAAACACCTAAGAATATGGAAGAAGACACTTTGAGAAACGTTTAGGACGAATTCAACTATCGTCTCGCTGTTGTCCATACAGCAGGTGGACGGCACATAGACCATTTATAAAATGGTTAGTAAAACTTGCTAACTCATTAAACCGTTTGTAACTTTTTGTGTAATTGTAACATGTTGCCATTGTGAAATATACTGCTTTGAAATTGGGTCCATCTTTTTCAAACACCCTGTACTACAGTACTTCTGTAATTCGTTTGCAGTGGACAGCTAATGAAGGTTGCCCAAATACCTCGACGTCTCATGGAATTCGGAGATTATCTGATGAAATAAAAATGCTCGAAGCCAATCGGAACCAGCCTGGATTCGTATAAAGTTGGTTACGCGGATCTCGGATGCGTACTAGACTGACGAATTTTGGAAACTTTGATTCGCAACTTCATTACAAATCAGTCTTTATCATAATAATTCATGGTCAATCTGCTGCTGGATGAACGCCTCCGAAGTCGCCGCCACCCCTTCACACGATCTTGCGATGCAACAATAAAAATCCACTCAGCACCTACACACCGTAGATTTAATGGAATGCGGTTTACATGAATTATATATTGTCCAATAATCTGTTGGCAGATTAACGTGGAATTCGATGCGACAGTATTTTGAAGTATAAGAAAGTACCTTTAAAAGGTATCCCAATAACGATGAGGAAGGGAAATAGACGAAGATTAGATCCGTGTTATATAAGTATGTTGAACTTCTTTCGCACCGTACAGTAGCCAACCATGCTCATCAGAGACTCAAAAATCTATTTGAAAGAAATGAGTTTTCAATCTACAAAGAGAGGAACTAAAATAATTTTGCTTTCGGGAAACCCTGAAGCAACCGTTCAGGTTATTTGAAAGTGATGCAGGGAAGGGAGATGGGTGGTGCAGTGGTTCACGAACTTCACTCTGAACCAGGTTCCCTGAGTCCAATTGGTAGCCCGAATTACGGATAATATCAGTGGTACATCATATTTAAACCGTCCTTGGCCACCACATCCCTCCACCAACCTACACTGACCAGGGTGTTGGAAGTATGGTCAAGCAACCCCCATCCGAGGGGGGGAGCTTCGTGCAGAAGTGGATCGACGAATGATTGTATTATAATCATGCCATTGTGGAGTTGATGTGCCTACTATTAATTCTATACCCAATTGTGGTTAAGTCATGGTCTACGGTGGCTTAAAAGCGACCGTTATGCACATTTGAACTTCTCGTACAAATATTGGCATGGTAAGTAACAAAAGGATCATATCCCAGTCAAACAAAATAAAGAGTATTGTCTCCAGCAAATGTGGGATGGATTTTTGCATACGTATAGATACTCCTATTGAATATGGTCAATTATTTAGATTGTACATAACGTTTGTTATGCTAATATTTAGCTTGCAGTTTCTCCGACCAGTTCTCAAATCATGTAGTTTATTTCAATTCGTAGTTACAATGACTTATAGTCATCAGCAAATCTGAGATAGCTACTAATTTCCGGTCCGTATTTACGTATTAATTTCTGCATCAATTGTCATTTCAGTCAAATTAATTGTCATAATCTGAGGTTGGGCATAATAGTAATTGATATGTATTAATTTGTGTTTCCCAGGTCCTAAAAACCTTAGCTTAAACCGGCTTTATAATGTAGTTTGTTGGCCTTGATATTTTCCTTTATTCTGTTCCCATTGACATTTGTGAACAAATTGTGTGTGATAAGAAGTCAATGGGCGTGTAATTCAAGTCAGTCCTATCACCCTATCCAGCAGTGGAAAGGTCTTCACCAATGGGTTTGATAGTAAAATGATACTGCCACGTTCCATCAAATAAACGTTCTTCTGGAGGACATTTAGCAGAACCTTTAAGTTAATGTACCATACGTTACATAATAAATAACAGGTGCCAGATTGTTTTAACTTAAAACACACTTGGTAAGCAGAAATATAAAATAAATTCGTTTGGGGGATAGACAAGTCAACAACCGTAAAAACAAGTTCTACGAAAATAAGCTACTGTGAGTCAACAAGACTATGATGCCAAGTTAACGGCTGCACACAAGAGACTTGCACATAACAAGTTTGCACGTAGCACATGAAGCCCAGTGGTAGTGTGACGCCGCCAATGTTTTTGGCTCTGAGACAATAGTGACTGACTGGGTGGAGTGGTGGCGCAGTGGTTGGGTCACTGCGTTTGACACGGAGATTCGGAGAATTTGGTCGGCGAGGTTGATCATTCACTTCGCGGAGGGAGCGGGCTCGAACTCAGAATCAATTGCCATATTGTCCTCTGACTGAATTAAATTCCCAGCCAAGGCGAACAACACCAGTGGCCAGTGATATCTTGAACCGATTCTGCCCACTCCCACGCTTCACTTCACCAACTCACGCTGACCAGCGTGGTGAAGTATGGTCAAAGAACAGCCGCAACCAACACGGCGTGGGAAGGCCTTCATCCAGCAGTGGATTGACAAAGGACTGTGAATCTATCCTCGAGCGTCTCTGAAGAGAACAGAGTCTCAGCCGACGATAAACAATCCACATCATTCCATTGGCATGCGCGCGTGTGGCCCACGTACAGGAGAGACAATGAAATGACTCAGTCAATTAGGTGACTGACCAACTCCCTTTGCTCCCCCCCACCACCACCTCCCCACGACCTCCTCCCCACCACCACCACCTCCCCCACACCACCTCCTCCCCACCACCACCACCTCCTCCCACCACCACTCTCCCACACCACCACCTCCTCCCCACCACCACCTCCTCCCCCTACCACCTCCTCCCCACCACCACCACCTCCCCCACACCACCACCACCTCCCCACCACCACCTCCTCCCCACCACCACCTCCTCCCCACACCTCACCACCACCACCACCTCCCCACACCACCACCTCCTCCCCACCACACCACCTCCTCCCCACACCACTCCCACCACCTCCTCCCCACCACCACCACCTCCTCCCCACCACCACCTCCTCCCCCACCACCTCCTCCCACCACCACACCTCCCCCCACCACCTCCTCCCCACCACCACCACCTCCCCCCCACCACCTCCTCCCCTCCACCACCTCCCCCCCACCACCTCCTCCTCCCCACCACCACCACCTCCCCACCACCTCCTCCCCACCACCACCTTCCCCACCACCTCCTCCCCACCACCACCTCCTCCCCACCACCTCCCCCCCACCACCTCCTCCCCACCACCTGCCCCCACCACCTCCTCCTCCCCACCACCACCACCTCCTCCCCCCCACCACCACCACCTCCCCCCCCACCACCTCCTCCTCCCCACCACCTCCTCCCCACCACCACCACCTCCCCCCATCACCTCCCCCCACCACCTCCTCCTCCCCACCACCTCCTCCCCCCCCCCCCACCACCTCCTCCCCCCACCACCTCCTCCCCACCACCACCACCTCCCCCCACCACCTCCTCCTCCCCACCACCACCACCTCCCCCCCCCACCACCTCCTCCTCCCCACCACCTCCCCACCACCACCACCTCCCCCCCACCACCTCCTCCTCCCCACCACCACCACCTCACCACAACCACCTCCCCACCACCTCCTCCCCACCACCACCTCCCTACCATCACCACCTCCCCACCACCACCTCCTCCCCACCACCACCTCCTCCTCCCCACCACCACCACCTCCCCCCCACCACATCTTCCACCCACCACCTCCCCACCACCTCCTCCCCACCACCACCTCCCTACCATCACCACCTCCCCACCACCACCTCCTCCCCACCACCACCACCTCCTCCTCCCCACCACCACCACCTCCCCCCCACCACATCTTCCACCCACCACCTCCCCACCACCACCTCCTCCCCACCACCACCTCCTCCTCCCCACCACCACCACCTCCCCCCCACCACATCTTCCACCCACCACCTCCCCACCACCTCCTTCTCCCCACCACCACCTCCTCCTCCTTCCTACTCACTCCAAATCCTCCCCCCGGTCTCCACGGCAGAGTGGTTGCGCCCGCGGAAGCCGGATGGTCCTAGGGTGTGACTGCTCCCCCCCACCACCACCACCCACTACCACCCACCACCACCAAGCCTCCCATCACAGCGCACCCAGGCCACTCACATTGTTTAATGTTGCGTTGAAGACGGCGACACACAACAGCGTTGACAATAGAGAAGCGACATCACACACCGTCACTCGCATTGTTTGTCGTGGAGCACTGAAGACGTCAACACGCCGGCGTTGACAACAGTGAGTGTGACATCAAACCGCAGCACACACCGCACTCACATTGTGTTGTGTGGTACCGAAGACATCAACACACCAGGGTTGACAATAGTGGTGGCATCACACCCCACTGACATTGTGTAGTGCGGTACTGCAGACATCAACACACCAGGGTTGACAATAGTAGTGTCATCACACCCCACTCACATTGTGTAGTGTGGTACTGAAGACATCAACACACCAGGGTTGACAATAGTGGTATCATCACACCCCACTCAAATCGTGTAGTGTGGTACTGAAGACATCAACACACCAGGGTTGACAATAGTGGTGGCATCACACCCCACTCACATTGTGTGGCGTGGTACTGAAGACATCAACACACCAGGGTTGACAATAGTGGTGGCATCACACCCCACTCACATTGTGTAGTGTGGTACTGAAGACATCAACACACCAGGGTTGACAATAGTGGTGGCATCACACCCCACTCACATTGTGTAGTGTGGCACTGAAGACATCAACACACCAGGGTTGACAATAGTGGTGGCATCACACCCCACTCACATTGTGTCTTGTGGTACTGAAGACCTCAACACACCAGGGTTGACAATAGTGGTGGCATCACACCCCACTCACATTGTGTCTTGTGGTACTGAAAACCTCAACACACCAGGGTTGACAATAGTCGTGGCATCACACCCCACTCACATTGTGTAGTGTGGTACTGAAGACATCAACACACCAGGGTTGACAATAGCGGTGGCATCACACCCCACTCACATTGTGTGGTGTGGTACTGAAGACATCAACACACCAGGGTTGACAATAGTGGTGGCATCACCCCCCACTCACATTGTGTTGTGTGGTACTGAAGACCTCAACACACCAGGGTTGACAATAGTGGTGACATCACACCGCACACACATTGTGTAGTGTGGTACTGAAGACCTCAACACACCAGGGTTGACAATAGTCGTGGCATCACACCCCACTCACATTGTGTCTTGTGGTACTGAAGACATCAACACACCAGGGTTGGCAATAGTCGTGGCATCACACCCCACTCACATTGTGTGGTGTGGTACTGAAGACATCAACACACCAGGGTTGACAATAGTGGTGGCATCACACCCCACTCACATTGTGTAGTGTGGTACTGAAGACATCAACACACCAGGGTTGACAATAGTGGTGGCATCACCCCCCACTCACATTGTGTAGTGTGGTACTGAAGACCTCAACACACCAGGGTTGACAATAGTGGTGGCATCACACCCCACTCACATTGTGTGGTGTGGTACTGAAGACATCAACACACCAGGGTTGACAATAGTGGTGACATCACACCCCACTCACATTGTGTCTTGTGGTGCTGAAGACCTCAACACACCAGGGTTGGCAATAGTCGTGGCATCACACCCCACTCACATTGTGTAGTGTGGTACTGAAAACATCAACACACCAGGGTTGACAATAGTGGTGGCATCACACCCCACTCACATTGTGTCTTGTGGTACTGAAGACATCAACACACCAGGGTTGACAATAGTGGTGGCATCACACCCCACTCACATTGTGTCTTGTGGTACTGAAGACCTCAACACACCAGGGTTGACAATAGTGGTAGCATCACACCCCACTCACATTGTGTAGTGTGCTACTGAAGACATCAACACACCAGGGTTGGCAATAGTGGTGGCATCACCCCCCACTCACATTGTGTAGTGTGGTACTGAAGACCTCAACACACCAGGGTTGACAATAGTGGTGGCATCACACCTCACTCACATTGTGTGGTGTGGTACTGAAGACATCAACACACCAGGGTTGACAATAGTGGTGACATCACACCCCACTCACATTGTGTCTTGTGGTGCTGAAGACCTCAACACACCAGGGTTGGCAATAGTCGTGGCATCACACCCCACTCACATTGTGTAGTGTGGTACTGAAAACATCAACACACCAGGGTTGACAATAGTGGTGGCATCACACCCCACTCACATTGTGTCTTGTGGTACTGAAGACATCAACACACCAGGGTTGACAATAGTGGTGGCATCACACCCCACTCACATTGTGTCTTGTGGTACTGAAGACCTCAACACACCAGGGTTGACAATAGTGGTAGCATCACACCCCACTCACATTGTGTAGTGTGCTACTGAAGACATCAACACACCAGGGTTGGCAATAGTCGTGGCATCACACCCCACTCACATTATGTGGTGTGGTACTGAAGACATCAACACACCAGGGTTGACAATAGTGGTGGCATAACACCCCACTCACATTGTGTAGTGTGGTACTGAAGACCTCAACACACCAGGGTTGACAATAGTGGTGGCATCACACCCCACTCACATTGTGTCTTGTGGTACTGAAGACATCAACACACCAGGGTTGGCAATAGTCGTGGCATCACACCGCACTCACATTGTGTAGTGTGGTACCGAATACATCACACACCAGGGTTGACAATAGTGGTGGCATCACACCCCACTCACATTGTGTGGTGTGGTACTGAAGACATCAATACACCAGGGTTTACAATAGTGGTGGCATCACACCCCACTCACATTGTGTAGTGTGGTACTGAAGACATCAACACACCAGGGTTGACAATAGTGGTGACATCACACCCCACTCACATTGTGTGGTGTGGTACTGAAGACATCAACACTCCAGAGTTGACAATAGTGGTGGCATCACACCCCACTGACATTGTATAGTGTGGTACTGAAGACATCAACACACCAGGGTTGACAATAGTGGTGTCATCACACCCCACTCACATTGTGTAGTGTGGTACTGAAGACATCAACACACCAGGGTTGACAATAGTGGTGGCATCACACCCCACTCACATTGTGTAGTGTGCTACTGAAGACATCAACACACCAACGATGACAATAGTGGTGGCATCACACCCCACTGACATTGTGTAGTGTGGTACTGAAGACATCAACACACCAGGGTTGGCAATAGTCGTGGCATCACACCCCACTCACATTGTGTCACAGTGTATTGGCGGTGGCTAGGAGATGTTAACTACCTCGCCTGATATGCAGGAGGTCGTGGGTTCGATCCCTAACCTGACGCCTGCTGCTGTGTATTTGGAGTTTGTGTGTCTCTCTCATCATCATCATTACGGTGGCTATGAGATGTTAACTACCTCGCCTGGTATGCAGGAGGTCGTGGGTTCGATCCCTACCCTGACGCCTGCTGCTGTATTTGGAGTTTGCGTGTCTCTCACCTCGTGGTCGCGTGGATTTTTCCCTCCACATTTTAAAATACGCGTTCAGAGTATTTGGCTGCTATACATTTCCACGTGATAAGCCACTTCGTTGAGCTGTCATTTGTGGCCAGATCGCTTCTGAAAAGAAGCTAAATTGCTCAGTGGGCCTTCCCTGATTAAAAAATGTCTAGTTTCGTTTAATAGTTTGTAAGACAGCACACTGGCGCTGCCACTCTTTTAAGCACCTCAGTGTTGACAGTACACACTAGCAATGGACAGAGCACACCAGCAACAACATCAGTTACACCATACCCACCATTCACGTTACCTAACTGTGCAAGATTTGCCAGCATTCACCTACAACTATACAAGATACGGCCATCAGTACATGACACCCCAGGATCCACGTCGTCATACGCATAGCAATACCCCAACGCTTGCACCATACGCGAATATTCACAGCAGAAACAGCATTAACCTCGGACTGCAATTCACATCACAGATCCACAATTGTAACATTGTACACAAAACAAGAGCAATTGTACCACCACACACACACACACCGTTAATCACACCAGCAATCACAACACACAACATAAATCACATCTCACAACAGAAATCACACACCAGCAAATCGCATCACACACCAGAATTCAGATCACATGCAACATTAATTACATAACAACTCAGCAATTACATTGTAGTACAGTACTGTATTGTAAATCATACACCAGCAATCACATCACCCAGACCACAAATTACATCACGCACACACCAGCAATCACAATGTTACACCAGAGATCACATCACACACCCCAGAAATCACATAATACACAATCAATCTCATCACATACAAGAGAAATCACACCACACTGGCCAGCAAACAAATCCCACAACAGCAACGCTTTACGCATACCACCAATTACATTGGAATATTACACATAGTTCTGTAAAAGCCAACATTCAAATTGCACTCTCACGTGCTATGACATTTGCTCAGCTGATGTTGCCCCGTTGTTTTCTATTGCACGTTGTACACACACACACACACGTACATACACACACAGTACATATACCACGTGTGAAAGCCACAGGGACAGCTCGTGATTACAGCTCTTCCGACACAGGGATGATGCACCTGGTGACACCAGCACAGCGGTGATTCCAAGGTACGCAAGGTGAGTGAGTTTTACAATGCACGTGTACCATATGCAAGGATTTGACATGAATTGCTTATAAAGATTACGTGTTCACACAATGCACCTATCGAAATACGCACGTGGTTTGTTGGCTGTTTAAGGTATTGTATGTACATATTCAAGCTATTTTTCTCAATACACTGCTAGATCAAGGCCCTTTTTCATGCTGTGCGCGTTTGGGTGGGTTATTTATTTGAACGACCATATTTCACGAAATAATCATCGGCAAAATAGTTAAGCAGACAATATCTTCTTCGAATTTTTGTTTCTCTATATAGTAAATAAAAGTATATTTTACAAAACCCACCAGGCCCTACGTCCTTCTTAGGAGTGCATACGTTCATTAACATTGAACAAATGATGCTGTGTTTTTGTTATGACCACACTTCAGCACGCTAGTTAGTGTTGGGTTTGTAACGGTGGGGAGCAATAGACGTCGGAACATATAAGTACAGCACAACCTTCTTGGTTCTTTCGGTAATGTCACGTGACTTTACCGAAAGAACCAAGAAGATGAATCCCTGCAGTCACGAAAGCTTTAAATCGAAATTTATACAGCACAACCGTTAATGTACTTGCATGGGGCATGGGGCAGTACATTAACACAGCATTCAATCTAGAGCTTACACATTCACATCACATGTAGAGTGAATGCATGCAAATTGTGGCTGTAATAGGCTTGTGCTGGCCATATAATGCACATGATGATTCAATATGTGTGTAAAGTGTTTGCAATAGCATGTCTCTAAAAGCCTCGTGTGGGTTTGATAAATAATGCAGAGCACGCATAAATATCATGCAATGCATTGCCTCTATATATAGAGAGAATTTACATTTAAACACAGTGTTATTTGCATTGAGACCTATACAAGGATTTCATGCACGCCGAGTTGATTTATTTTTGCCGAAAGCTCCCCGTGGAGGGCTCACTTTTCACCATAGTATCATGTCCGCATATCAAAGGGAATTGATAATGTGATGTGTATACCTAAATATTACAATTTACAATGTGGATTCGTAATATAACATCTAAATGTGACAAAATCTCGAGATAAATAGTGGGCATTTTTATTTTATTTAGAAAGAAAGAGTCAGGCATTAGCAGATGATTAACAGTATTGTCTTGAGTCTGGACTTGAACGGAGGCAGGACGGAGGGCTGGGGGTAAGGGAATTCCAGATGATGGGGACAGCGGAGGAGAATGAGTGATATCCTTTTGTTCGATTAGTGATATCCCATTGTCCAGTGGGCTACGTGCGGTGTGAAAGAAGTTCAACATACATTGTGAGAATGTTAACTGGGCGCTTTGAAAGAATTCCTTGTTTGCTGGAGCTGAGCGTGCTTGAAATTGAGTAGAGTCCAATGAAAGGGGTATGAGAGGTAGGCGTGTAGGTGGAAGATGTGTACAATTCTGTATGTGTGCACGTGAGCAAACAGTATCTGTTTTTGTACTGTACTTAATTGTGTTGCATCCCTTTGGACTTGTTATTGTGGCCATTATGGCTTTTTAACAAATGGTATGCGTGATTATTCTTGCGTCTTATGTGTGTTCCCTGTAATGTAGCAACAGTGCCAGTGCATATTTACAACCATTCGTGCCCATGTGATTAAATTTATGTCCATCCGTAAAGCAACGCCCTGTGCAAGTTGTGTCGCTTCCGCCAGCAGTGTTGGCTTGTATCGTGCACATGTGTGCACCGTCATTCCTGTTAACTCCACCATTGTGCATTTACATCGTTTGTGTGTAATGAGTGTGGCTCTGCAACAACGTAGGAGCCCATACGACGGAGACAGTCACCCTGGCGTTTGCCCGTTGAATAATTAGGGTTAATTCTGCAGTGATGCAGTAATAGGTTTTTACCCTTTTATCTGGTACAAAAACTGACACCTTTATACAAGGGATCATGTTTGCAATAACCACAACACAAGCAGTCAAAATGCAAACAAAAAGAAACAACTCTGATAATGATATGCACTGTCCTTGAAGTTGATTGGTCCACACCCGAGACAGCTTTTCTTAGAGCCTAGTCTCACATGGTGTTGGACCAGATGACGCCAAAGTTGATTGGTCCACACCCGAGACAGCTTTTCCTAGAGCCTAGTCTCCATTGGTGCTGGACCAGATGACGCAAAAAGGCGTGTCAGTACTAAGTGGGCTGTTCCATGATTTCGGTTGTACCTTTGAGAGACTTTAAACATCATTAGCATTGGCATGAAGTAGATTTTTATTTGATCGTAGTTTTTCGGACTAATTCAGATTTACATAATTTGTCCACCTTCCTTGATAATGAAACATTTTACCGTGCGGTTGCCGAATAAGTTGAACTACCCCAGTATAACATTCATCGCTATGCCAGTAAGCAGTCAGTCAATGGTGTGACTTCTCTATATGCCTGGTCATTTCTGTGGGGAATTACAAAAGCACACCATCTGCCTCTAAGTGGACTTTAAACATCCCGATGACATCATTCTTGGGTATATGCCATTGTCTGTCAGCACCATAGTCTAAAATTAAAATATAGATTTCAATTTAAAAATAAAATACATCATATATAATAAAATTAAAACTGTTCCTACATAGCTACATTCTCCCTGGTTGCATCTATGTAAGATATATTGAATCTCAACACCGTGCCAATTGTGTATATTAAACGTTATTTTGCTTGGAGGATGCAAAAAATGCACTCAACAGCATGCGTCATGTTACTGAGATGTACAAAGCCCATTTAAAGCTAAATTAAGTCTTGACTCTCCTGGGGGATTCACAGGGATGATTTGTTTGCGTGTCTGAGATGTCATTGACCTGGAGTGAGGTTTTAGCCAGGGCACTGGGGTCAACACCCTTGGGTTTTGCCAAAAAGCACCATGGGATCCACACAATTTTGACTGAGTGGGAAGGACCCGCGTTTAAAGTCTCTTCTGAAAAGCAGCTCTTATTACAATGTCACCAACCACTAGTCCACATTATTGGCTGTTTTGTGCCAGAAGGAAGAGCACGCCTTACCACTGCTTCATACCGTAACACGATGGTCTAATTTGGTGGCTATGCGTCACATTTATATTGCACCCAGATGCTGATATGAAGGATAGGGTGGCATGTGTGATATCTGGAAGTATGTATTCAGTCGCCCCGCAATTTAGATATAATGGCAGTGTAATGTATAACTGTACAAAATAGGAAAAGGATGGACCACCATATGGAAAGATACAAGTGGCTACTGTTACATTGTGGTATTATATTTCAGATAGATAGAGCTACTGCTTTATTTATGAGGACAGGCCCATTGAAGTTCAGTATGCAATATTGTCCATTAATTCTAGTCCTCCATATTGCCTAAATGATCCAGCCAATTTTGTATTAACTTTGACACAAGGTGTTGCCAACAAAATATCTATTCTGGTATTTTCCCCAGCTATATCCCAATTGTGCTCTCCGTACTCTTAGTTCTTTCGGTAAAGTCACGTAGGTAAAATATTAAATTCAAATTAATAAAAATAGTCCATTCGTAACTCTCACAGAGCAATACAACCATCAACCCACTGCACCTGGGACCTCGGATTAATGTCAGGCCACTGCTCATATTCAAAGTCAGGATCTCTGTTCTCACCTCAGCGTTCTGACCTCTGAGCCACTTGGCGATCTCAAATTTACGTTGTATTCGGATTTCCCGGTTAAATTCAACACTCGTCAAAACTCATGGACGGTTTTAAGGGAAAATGCAACACAAAATAATATTTGTAGATAAATTGCCAAGGCTGACTGATATGCGTTTAAAGCTATGATGTTATTGACATATATTTAAATACAGCGCCAATGCAGTTATGTCCGTCGAGTACAGTAATGGTTTGCATGACCTTAACTTTAAAGTATTTGTTTACATGAATGAAGATTCATATTTGTGTTGGACAACCCCGTGACACACACACAAGCGAAATGTTTATCTATAGATGAAGAGCAATACTTTTTTGGTTTGTATCTTCCTTTAAGGTAAGTCAAGGAGGATAGGAGTTGAAATGGCAAGCATTTTCAGATTTTAAGAGCAATTTTGGCCGGACAGTGTTGACAACCCGACCCATGTAATAGCTGCATTTCATAATATCATGCGAGTCATATATATGGAGAGTTATGACCTGCATAGCTGAGCTGCAGTCAGTATTCAAAGCTGGGAGCGCACCTGCTTGAATGCATTTTTTGTGTACACATTTGGAAACCTTGGGTGGCGCATTTAAAATATTTGTTGGAAATTAATAAACATGGGGGTTGGGAAAAATATTACTGTGATGCATCTCGGAATTGACTGAATATGTTCATGCATCACGCCCAGCACTGGTTTAATCCACTCATCCCTGGCTGTCTTTCACTCTGACAGTACTGCAGAGAGCAAAGGTCAGATGGGACTAATGTGATGGATTGATTGATTTACAGCTTTGCATGGAACTTGCATTAATTACAGCAGACTTTAGAACACTGTAAATTCAAGTGTCATGGGACACTGGCGTTGAGACCCTAGCTCACCCACTCTTGAATCTACATGGTCCCTATACTATTTCTTCTGTTTCTTTCCTCACACTGCCCAACTTTGGAACTCCCTCCCATTATCTATTTCCCAAAGTTATTTTAACCTTGCTCAATCCAAGTACAGTAATATATGAACTTTTATCTAGTTTACCTTCAATAGTACTGTTTGTTGCTGACCGCTTGTCATTTTTGGGCCTTTGGCCCTGTGCTCAGAAACCACGATTTAAAAAAATAAAAATCCGTGAACTGCTATGTCAATTTGACCGTAACACACTCCCATCGTCTCGTCAATGAGCTCTGCCTCACACATCTGACGTAGGGAAAGCTGTAAATGCAAGGACAGATCAATCTGTCCTCTGCCCGTGGGGCCCTGAAGGTTAACCCCAGTACGCACCAACATTACAGTATCCTGGTTACATAAACTGCTCGCCGTGCTGGGGTAAACGTGATGCTATCAGGTCTTTCCAACGTCTCTGTTGAAAAGGGCGTTGCATAATGAAAGGTGTGGAACCAGCAAGGTTGCATACCTAGACCTAATTTTCTTGTGACGTCACTGGGGGTATATGGCAATATCAATCATGGGGGAATTAAGCGTTTTGCACTGTATTTTAACGGTAACACTCCTATAGTACAGTGTTGTGTGTGGTATCGAACATTAAATAGCTCTGGAATTGGATTCAATGCGAAACTGATGTTTCTTATATCTGTTTATTTGTTTCAACTATTCCTCACTATCAAAAAGCTTAGTAGATACGCGCGTCTTCATAGTAATTCACTGATTTGATTCCCTACCACGTCTTTACCCCTACCCTCCCCCCCCCCCTTACTACCCGCACTGACCAACATTGGGAAATATGGTCAAACAACCCCCATGAACCAACGGAAGTAGATTGAAAAAGGGCTCTAGTTAAATATTTTTGGGGCTAATTACCGTGTATCAAATATGTAAATATTTAATGGACAAAAAAATTTGCCAGACTTTATCCAACCCTAATTAGGACTTTATCCTAATTAGGGTTGGCAAGTGCCGTTGGGGAAAAATCCTGCATGGAGGGCACTGATATTTTACTCTCTGCCAGTGAGGATGGCGGTGGACTCATCCCATTCTTTGTGACCTTACACGCATCTCGTCTGCCCATGCTTGTTTTATCAGTTCCCGCAATACTGCGCCCCCATCCTGTGTCTGCCTAGGACAAGGCGTCTGCCATTACATGCGTGCCTCAATCATGACGAATTAACGTGCACCTGGACATTTTTGTGCGAGCCCGAACGGCGCCGCACTCCCAGGCTCCGTCGTCGGAGCCGCCCGAGTGAAAAGCATTGCTCATTTGCCAAGGGAGGAGTTCACCTCCCCCAGGGCTTGAACGTCTCCTCTGGGTGCAGCGTATATGTTAAGAACTTTCTTTGTTGATTTTATCGCGCCTGGTTATTTGGCCTGTTGTTTGCCGCAAGCTGGGGCGCGGTGTTGTGCATACCTGAGGTCCGCCACATTTGGAGGCAAGGGTTAGTGGATCACGAGTAAATTTGTGATACTTCCAAACGCGTTTCACGGTGGCTAGGGGATGGAAGTACAGCAAATGGGCTGTTAAAACTATCTGTTGCGGACTATAAAATGTTATTCACTGGTACACGTGGGCTTTGTCCAGGTACTTGTTGTATTTTCCCATACCAAACAGTCATTCATGATATTGAACTATCCTAATGTAGGATGCTCCTGAAATATTATTTAAAACTCAGTGAGGCTTTCCTGTATAATTCAAAGGTACTATTAATTCGTAATTTGCTTTTTTATTTCATGAGCTGAATCCCTCTTGGCTCAATGTGGGGAGCTTTGAGTATTACCTCCTGTACGCGTGGTAGGTTATCTCCAGGTACTCAGGCTAATTCCATTTTAATAGACTATCCCAACCCTAAACGTCTGGAAAGGCTTTGAGACGTGGGGTAACAGACGGTACCTTGCTTTGCCCTCCCCGTCTTACCTTTTGCCCCACCACTCATGTTCTCTGTTCCATGAAGGCTTCCCGTGTATCCGCTCCCTGGCCGTGCCTAAGGAGGAGAGTGGCATGGCTACAGGGGGGATGCCCAATGAAAACCTGCCCACCTACAAGGTGAGCTCGCTTTTCATTCGTTTGCATTTGTTGAACTTTTTTTTTTTACTCTCAAATGGTCACAATAAGTAACGTGAACAATTGCAGGCATTGATATTGCAAAGCGTGACTTGATTCTAAGAAACATCCGGCAAGATGTGCGAGTGTTAGTGTGGATTCATATAGTGGAGTGAAGGGGATAGGTTGGTGTGATGTGCAGTACACCACGGCAAATTATTAGAATTAGATGGTGCTGGAGATTCTTTCGTCATATTTTCATTAATATTGAACCATTGTTGATATGCGGTTCCATAAAACACATTTACATTATAACATAAACCATCTATAAATAGTACCGTACGCCTCATTATCATGCGCAACAGCGCGGCGTGCTTGGCATGAGCCTTGGTGGAAGGAATAAAGTGGAGCCCCCTGTCCAAATTCCCCCTCCTCCTCATAGCCCAGCACCTGGGCCCCTCCGGCACGTGGGCACTGTTGCAACTGCACCACCTGTACACTTGATAGCTTAACATTGATCGTGCGAGTGCACGTGGCGCTAGAGTTGGTTACATGTCACGTGTTGCTGTCGCCTTCTCGGAGGTGGTGGTGGTGGGTGATGGCGGTGTCGGGAAGAGCGCCCTCACCATCCAGTTCTTCCAGAAGATCTTCGTAGTGGACTACGACCCCACCATCGAGGACTCGTACATCAAGCACACGGAGATCGACGGCCAGTGGGCCATCCTGGACGGTACATCCAGCCCACTCACCCACGCAGCCTCCCACGTAGATGTCCATCACCATAGCGTGACCGCTGCGTGCATAATCCAATACAGCATCCGTAGTGAGAAATTTTTTAACTAGCAAGTGAGACAATATGCAGTCCTTTCATGTTGATTATTATCAGTAATAATTTATAGCTGTGTGTGAATTCTCTGCCAGATGATGGGCTCCCCATCCTGGCTTGGTCATAGGGATTGTTTGACCATACTTTATCATACTGGTCAATATTGGTTGGTCCAGAAGATGCCAAGCAAATGGTTCACATCTCATTCACCACTGATGCTGGCCATGATCGGGAATCAAAATTCAGGTGACCAGGTTCATAGCAAATTGCACAAGCAACTGCACCACCGCTCACATGAATTACCTGAATATTGGTCCTGTTATGTCCCCTCCATGTCTCAAATTCCTGAGCATGTTCCTCCTTTACCTGACCTTTATCTGCCCATGTTGTTGCATTAATCTTTCTGGGCTTTTTACTCAAATCGAAATTATGAATATTTAATGTTTCTATTTCCATTAAAGGAATCAATTTGTTTTTATAATAGCTATTAATTTTAATTTGCCATTTATTTATCCAGAAAAACCTCAATGAGTCTCAAAGACTGTTTCAGGAGGATCTTCCATTGGAATATTTGGCCAATATCATTAATGCGTGTTTGGTATGTAGGAGGAAATTGGAGAACCTGGAAAAAACCCCACACATACCAGGGGATTACACTGAACATCTCCTGGTCACACAAAACTTACAAATTGGGTCTATTTTAATGCTCACTAATCTCACTGTGATATCGCTGCATTCATTCCCAGTGGTGTTGTGGTTATTTTCATTTATTCGCAGCTCTTCCACAGCAGTGATGCGTGTGACACTGTTAAAAAATACATGTTGCGTCTCAGTGGGTTCACGCGCGCGTCTAAATTAAGCAATCATTCAATCCGTTCAAATCATTTAAAATTTAAAACTGACATTTACGGAAGGGAATGCAGTCTCAGTGACGTTTGACCCATGCCTTTCCCAGAACACCTTCAGTCTGTAACCGGTGAAAATGCGTTGCCTCATCTCGCCAAACACAATGGGGCGTCCTTGAAGTTGCTGCATAGTTTTTTTTGTTTCTCGTGCCAGCAGCTTAAGGCAACCAGGCTTCTGCCACAATAGCAGGATGTTCCATGTCACACTATTGTCGCGGTGCATATAAATAGCACCGTCTGTATAATTAACGTACGTAATTTTTCCATTTCGCATATAACTACAAATACATGGCAAGACAAACTTTAAAAACCTAAAATGTATGATTGCGTTTATTTTACACTGTACAGAAGAGTTATAAGGCTCACAAGGGATCTTGGGATTCCAAAGCCAATAGAAGTAGAACAAATCATCAATTGATATTGATTCTTAACTTTGTCATACATGCGTTAATTCACGTGTGTAAGAATAATTTGCTGTATGTAATGGGTGTACGTCACCCATGCAATCACGAAAGGCATTAACAATGCAATGATGTACAAACAATGTTACATTTTATTGAAACGCGACCATGAATTGTGACAATTCATGCAATTGTCTGGGGTATGGGGGGGTCAATCATTCCACCTCTAAATACTAATCACACATAGTGCCAGTAGGTGGCCTTGTAAAATCAAATCTCATTTTACTACCGGGTTCATAACCATACATTTTTTGAGGCGATATGATCACACACACAGCCGTGCTGTACGGTACTCATTTTGCCCTCGTTAAGGATCAACAGCACAGCAATGTATGCACTTTTGTTTGATGCCGGAGTGCGCCTGTTGGCTGCAGCGAATGTTGCATCGCTGTGGTATATGGAGCACATATATGTGCCACAGCCAGCGATGGCGCAGGGAAAGATGACACAGAAAGCAGCAGCTGCCGCTTGCTGCAGCTCGGCCATGGGAGCCCCTGATCCCTGCCAATTTCAGCACAGCTGTCGGTGCGATTGCCAGCACGCTGCAAATAATATAAATAAATGTAGACAACAAATTTTCCCATGCCCCCTTCAAAAAAGCGATGACTTTACTTGACCTCGCAGCGTGAGAAATTAAGAGAGCTGCACCTGCCCACGCGATGCCGCTCGTAGATAAAGAGCAGCGTTGTTGGAGCGCACCACCCAGGAATGGCACCATTGAGCTTCGCTCCTCAGCTCCACGCCTGACCGTGAATGACGCGTGTGGATCCTTAAGTCAACCACATGTCCACAAATGCCAGATACACGATGTGTATCTGGCAACCAACACCTAATCCAGGCAGGATGAAAACCAAACGAATAAACAATTTGCATCGCCAGATTTCTAGTGCTGATATAATGAATGTCGTTCATGAACGTTACTCGCAACAACCAGTTATGACATTGAATGTATGTGGACATTTACGTATTTACTTATGAGAAACATGGTCATTGCCAAAGAAAATGGATCAAAAACTTAAAAGTACACAAATAATCATATGGGGAGGTGCACACTTCGAATTGCACTGAGAAACAGAAACAGGCACACTAAGGTTATATAACATATGAAAGTTACAAAGCATCATATTAACTGTTAAGAAAAGTAGGTTGCCTTGGGGCAGGATACATCACGAAAAGGAAAATGGCCAGTGTTTGAAACTACCAAGGGAATGAACACACATTCACCGCAGAGATGGAGCTTTTTGGCAGAATCGAAATGGATTATTGCTTCGCGAGACTATGAGAGATGAAAGCATTTTGGGGAATGCCTTCATCCAACAGTGGATATTTCAAAGCTGAAGATAAAAAATAATAACTAAAGTCTATGATAACAAGTCCCCCCTGTCAGTGTCCACATCCGTATCTATCGACGCTACTGGTGGGCTTTCCCAACTTTCGGGCTGACCCCTAATCCTACCCCGATTGCCCCCCCCCCCCCCCCGTGCTTGCATGGCTGTGTAGTGCTGGACACGGCCGGGCAGGAGGAGTTCAGTGCCATGCGGGAGCAGTACATGCGCACAGGCGATGGCTTCCTCATCGTCTACTCGGTGACGGACAAGGCGAGCTTCGAGCACGTGGAACGCTTCCACCAGCTCATACTGCGCGTCAAGGACAGGTGTGGGCACAGCACACAGGGTAGAGGCAGCACCCCGGTTGTTGCTATGGATTGGGGCAGTGGCGTAGCTATCGAGTGATAGCTACGCCACTGGACAGAGGTGGTGGGGGGGGCCTCAATTAATTCCTTGCACCAGGTTCCATGCCACCCATGCAACACCAGTGGGATGGAGGTTGGGTGGAGAATGTTTCATTAAAATGTATTTGTTGTTCAAAATAATCCACAACGCACTGAAGCGAGTCGCATTTATTCCTGGTTACACAACTCAAACCCTGAGCCTTCTGACCCTGCCGCTGTATTAATGAAGCAATGGCAAGTGACTGCATACAACATTCTGTGCTGTCAATACAAATCTCTAATGTTTTCAAGTGAGTGCTTTATGGAGATTATAATCATCAGTAATATTATTTAGGATTACCTTAAACCATAGGACCTATTGGCCCCATTGTTATATGTATCTTAGCTGTTGCTGCCTGTGTAGTAAGTATCGGAGGAGACGATGTCGAAGTTGAGACACACTGTTTATTAACTCCGGGACAGATACAATAGTTGAAGGGGTATCGGCCCCTTCACCCGTACTATGGGAAACCCACCCTAGTACTAAGCCCTCTGTCCTGTCCCCCAGTCCTCCTCTACTGGGCTACGGGAGGCTGACTGATCTGGCCCTGGCAAGCACAGATCTCGGCACCAGCTAACCAGCCTTGCCCTGACAAGGGCAGCGGTCTGGAAGCTCCTGGGCCGCGCCACTGGCTTACCCGGCTCGGCCCTTATAAGGACGGCGAGACCGGGGAGTCCCAGGGCCTAATCTCCGAGTCTTGGATCTTCACTGGTCAGCTTCGTGTCGAACTGAACTCGAGCTCTTTGGGTTCCACCTTTTATAGGGATCGCCTCCGAGGGCTGGGGCGTGGGCAATAACTGATGCGGACGTCGGTGTGACCACCCGTGTATGTGAGTGCCGACAACCCTGTGTTTGTTGTCCGCCGTTTCTCCCGTAATAACCCCTACATCACCCCCCCCTGTACAGCTCGCAGCCGTCCCGGCTGCAACAATCCCTCAACCCCCAAGAATAAAGATTAACACCGTCAATACACGTGTGCCTCGTAACAGTAACAATAACAAGAACAAGCGTAACATCAACCGATGGTTCCCTATATAACAAAAAAAACCCACGCAGAACCGCAATACATATACAGAACGGTATAACAGCACATGCAATCAGCATATCGCGATCACACGCGTACATTGAAGCACAATAGCAAGCAAATCTGCAGGCGACCAACACACCCTCAATCCCGTCGCAACTTTGCAACCACAACACAATTATTCTCTCTCATGCAACGACCGCATCGCACACCGCACCTCGCAGCACAATACAGCCCCAAAAAAAAACATTTTTTTTTCTTCTCTTTTTTTTGTCAATTAAGCCCCTCGCGCACGGTAACCCACGAGATGGTACAGCACAGGGTACCCGACGCTCCCACGTTAATAATTAACTATAGCATCAAGATAACAACTCCACGCAGCAGCGCACACACTCCCTTTGAAACTCAGCAACCACAGCAGACTTTCCGTCCATTCCCAACACACGCACACACTTACATGGACAGCAAGCAACAAGCAGATAGCGTGGTCATCGTTATTACACACACATACAACAAAAAAACATATATACAATGAGCGGGTTCCGCAGCAACGGAACACGCGCGGAAAGCTAATCATAACAACCGGCGCGTCTTGGCGCGAGTCCGTGCAGCGGGCCCGTCACAAGGGGCCGGCTTGGTAGAGTCGGTGGCAGGTGTCGCATCAGCAGGTGCCTGGTCGTCCGGTTTCCCGGACGTGCCAGCGCCGCCCCCCACGGGGGAGGCTGGCAGCCCAGAGGGCTTCAGTCCTGGGGCTCCTGAAGACGGGACAGTCATTAGTGGATCAGAGGCTGGCATCGATCCCGCCCCCCCGGAGTCAGAGGACTCCCCACATGTTCGGCCATTTACGTGGGAGGAAGCGTGTGGAGCAAAAAATGGCTTTAACCGTGAAGGGTGTACAAACCACCGACGCTTCCCCCACTTAATGCGCACACATTGAGGCCGTACAACCTGCACAATTTCAACGGGGCCCCTCCATGGTCGCAACAACTTAGCCGAGGTGGCCAATGGCACCTGGGGGCAGTGCAACCATGCTCGGTCGCCCGGGTGCCATTCGTGCGTGTGAGTCCGGCGCGACCGCAACCTCTCGTTTTGTTTCTGGCGGGAGTCAGAGTTTTGCATGGCCGCCTGCCGTGCCTCCGCCAAGCGAAGGATGTTGAATTTAACATGGTCGGCGATTTTTGACTTAGCATGAGGCGCGGCAATCGCCAGCTGAGTCGCGACAGGCGGGTCAACCTCGCGACCATACATCAAAAAAAATGGCGAGAAACCGGTCGCCGCGTGAGGAGCCATCCTGTATGCCGCCAGGACTCCCCCGATCCGTAGATCCCAATCGTTTTGGGACTCAGATACCTGGTGGGATAGCATGGACGTAAGAGTCCTATGCAAGCGTTCCACCATCCCATCCGTCTGTGGATGGTAAGGCGAGGTACGAACTTTCTTTGTACCCAGAAGGCCACATACCTCGTGTAGAAGGGTACTAGTGAAATTCTTTCCCTGATCGGTCAACAACCGTTCCGGAGCGCCCTTGTCGAGGACGTAGCCCTGAACAAAAGCCTCCGCAACGGCCGCTGCGGACTGGTTGGCGAGGGGCCAAGCCATAGGCCATCGCGTGAAATATTCCACGCCAACCAGCAGGTACTTATTACCCCTCGGCGTGGAAGGAAACGGTCCCAAAATATCAAGGGCGACCAGCTCGTTAACCCGGGTGACCGAAATGGACTGGAGCGGTGGACTGGCTCCCTTCGCCGGCGGCTTCCGTTGTGCACACTGGGTACAGGACCGCAGCAGATCGTCCACGTCTCTTGCCATGCCCGGCCAAAAGTAATTAAGCTGGAGCGTGGCAAGTGTTTTGAGGGTACCCAGGTGCAGGAGCCGTTCATGAGCAGCCCATACAGCCCTACCCCTCAACGTGGAAGGCACCACCAGCCTGTGACGGCGGATCGTCCCGTCCCAATGCATGAGTACGCCTTGGCACCACCCCCATGAGTCAACGCCCGACTTCCCTGGACCCGATCCTTCCGCGCGACGTCGTAGTGCCAGGAGGGTCGCATCCTCCATTTGGAGGCGGCCCCACTCAGCACTCGACAAGCCAAGTAGGGAATCACTCCCACCCCCCGAAATAGGACCAGCGTCCGAAGGAGTATCAACTGCGGCCGCAAGAACCCGATCCTGACCGTCACTTGCCGATTTGCAACGGCCCGAACCCAAGAAACAAGTGCAATCCGGGGCGATCGGCAGGCGTGATAGGGCATCGGCATTGGTGTGGCGAATCCCCTTCCGGTAAGTTGTTTCAAAATCGAAATCCTGCATGATCTCGAGCCATCGGGACAACTGCCCCGATGGCTGGTTAATTCGTAGGGCATACTGCAACGCCGCATGATCTGTACGGACGGTGAAATGCCGGCCGTACAGATATGGCCGGTACTGTTGGATAAAGAACACGATAGCCAACAGTTCGCGGCGGGTGACGCAGTACCGCTGCTCGGCCGGGGACAGTACTCTACTACCATAAGCCACAACGCGCTCCACGCCACCCACAATTTGTGACAGCACGCCTCCAATCCCGGTATTGCTCGCGTCCGTGTCGAGCACGAACGGCATGGAAAAATCGGGGTAGCTTAACGGCGGGGCCCCCACCAGGGCATCCCGAAGAGAGACAAAAGCGGCGTTCTCCACCGCTCCCCAATGAAATTTGACCCCTTTTGACGTCAAGGCATGTAGTGGCTTAGCGATGGAAGCAAAGTCCGCAACAAACCGACGGTAATATGAAGCAAAGCCGATGAAGCTTCTAACCTCCCCCACCGAGGTTGGGGTAGGCCAGGAGCTGACACAACGCGTTTTGGCGGGATCGGTTGAGATACCTGACCGGCCGACGATGTGACCCAAATATTTAACAGATTCGCGCAGCAAGTGGCACTTTTGTGGCTTGAACTTCAAATTTGCAGCGCGCATCTTGAGAAAGACGGCCCGAAGCCTATCAAGGTGTTCCTCGAACGTCTTACTGAATACGATAACGTCATCCAGGTAAATCAAACACACCTCCCATTGCAAGCCAGCGAGGACCAATTCCATCAGGCGCTGGAACGTCGCGGGAGCAGAGTGTAATCCCATGGGTAAGCGATTGAATTGGAAGAGGCCGTGCGGCGTTCGGAAAGCAGTTTTGGGTCTAGATTCGTCGTCCAAGGGAAGTTGCCAAAATCCTGAGAGCAAATCCAAAGTGGAAAAGAATCGCGATCCCGCGAGGGCATCCAGCGATTCGTCCATTCGAGGAAGCGGATAAGCATCGGCCACCGAGATCTTATTTAATCGCCGGAAATCAACGCAGAACCTTAGGGACCCGTCGTGCTTTTTAACCAACACTATGGGTGCACCCCAAGGGCTGGTTGAGGGAGAAATGATGTCCGATTTCAACATGTCATCTACAGCCGATTTGACATGATCCTTTTCGGCGGGACTTAACCGAAAAGGATTCTGGCGGATAGGAGCGTTGTCACCGGTGTCAATATGGTGGCGTAGCAATTCGGTACATCCGATATCGTATTTATGTTTACTGAAGACGTCGGAAAATTCTCGCAATAAGGCGCGTAATTTAGCACGTTGTGCGTCGGACAGGTCAGGTGACTCAGCACACAACGCATCCAGCCAACCCTCGTCAGCGTCTGAGGCTAATCGCGTTTGAGAATCGGTGGCCACCTGGCCAACGATCGGCGTTTCCGCAGGTACCGGAACCGCATGTGCGAACACGGTACCTTGCGAAACCACTGCTGTCCGTGTCCCGACATTGAGGACCGCGATAAACGGGTCCCCATCCCCTTTAACAATAGTCTGGGCCGTTACCAGATCTGGCCCACACACCCCGGCTCTAGATGGTCCCAAAATAACGCCTCGGTCAGAGACCCCTTTATCGAACGGACGACGCAAGCGCAGGGGTACCAACATCTGTGCCCCCGGGGGTACACGCACCGTCCGAGCAACAAGCGCCTGTACCGTAGCACAGGCAACACGCAAGGCAGGGGTGGCAGGTAGAAACGTCATACGTCGGCCTGATGGAAGCTCGATGCATTGCTGGTCAATCAGAATTTTGATGGGCAATTTGGCCAAAAAGTCTGTCCCCAACAGGCACGGAATAGCCAGCGAGGAAGAGACGAACACCGGCCCAGATAGTTTAATGTCCCCTATCGAAATTTGCGCTCGAATTTGACCGATAATACCCAACGAGCCCCCATTTGCAGCGTAAAACGGTATATCGACAGGGAGCAACGGGCGACTCTGAACGGGCAGGATATTATAAATCAAATCCAAAATGATAGTTGCCGAAGCTCCCGTATCGACCAATAACCGTACCTCCACCCCGTCAATATGTCCCGCGACAACGGACGACCCCGCCGATGCAGCCACAACTCGGTGAGCCAACTCGGACCATTGGCCCGGTTGGAGCGCCCTCCCCGACATGCCGCGACCCGACGCACCAGCACCCAACCCCCGAGAATTGTGTGTCTGACCATGTGATAGGAAAGTGGGTGTGTGTGCAGGCCGAACATGTGGGGTGCCATGACTTGCCCGAGGATGTTGCGAAGGCTTGTGAGGAGGGCCGTCCGCAGCTCCAGGTCTCGCACCGCGCTGTCGAGGAGCCCGGCATCCGGACGCCACGTGGCCCCGGAGGCCACAATTATAGCAGACGACGAGCGTTCCAGAGGACTTGGGCTGGTCTCGGTGGCTTGGGACGTCCCGAGCTGGACGCTCGGCAGATCGCCATCCTGCAGAACGATCCGCAGCGAAGGCTCCCTCCATTCCGGAAGAGGTCGCCGCCACGGTGTGTCGTGCAGCTGCTTTGTTCGCCTTCCTCCGCTGGGAGATGAGATTGGCGTGAATGTGCCTTGCAGCCCGCAGTGATGACATATCCGCATCGTCCTGCGCTAAGATGGTGAAGTCCAGATCGTCAGCCAGCAGCAAAATTTTCTCGGCCACCATCGCATCGATCCCCTCTTCATCCATACGCGGGAAAGCGTCTTTCGCCAATGACAGCAGGGCCGTGCGATAAGCGAGTGGCGATTCCTTGTCACCCTTCTGCCGCTCATAGAAGAGCTGGCGACAGTCAGAGGGCGGCCCATAAACGGTGGCCAGCAGCTGCAGCGCCGACTGAATGGTGGAGCGTGCCGACTTGGGTGCAGCAGTGAGGGTGCCCAGGGCGTCGCCGTCCAATAACGCCGGGAGAGCACACAGCGCCTCGTTGTCCGACCAGCCTGCCATCTCTTGGTGGGCCAAGAACCGGCGCTGGAACCCCCCCCAATCGCCGTCGCTTGCAACAAATACCTGCAGGGCCGGCAGGCGTTGCTGGAATGCCGGCTCCGTCTCCGATCCTCTTGCAGCATCCGTAGCGCGTCCCCGTACAGTATGAGTAATGGCGGACTCTAATGGGTGTCGCGCCGTCAGTGACGTGTTGGTCGGGGCTTGGTCGGTGCTGGCGTCCGCTGGTGGTGACGTCGCAACCCCTGATAGGCCGCCACCGCGACCCGCCTCCGCCGATGACGTGGCGGCTGCTGGCTGGGCACCGTCCCCCACGTGACGAGCTGGGACTCCTCCCTCCGCCCCTACTGTCTGTGAGGCGGGAATTTCGAGTCGCCCCGCTGTTGTAAAGGCGGGAGTTTCTGGCGGGCGTTGTCCATCTTCCCGCCGCGTCGCTCCTCCCGGCCCCAGGCGAGTTATTTGTTCGAGCATAGCGGCCGCTGCATACAAGAGCTCCGCCAGCCGCGTGTGAGCCAACGCCAACTCGTCAGTCGACGTCCCGGCCCTCTCCGACGACCCCGCCGATGTCGGAGCCGGCAGCAGTTGTGCAGGTACGTCGGAGGCGATGTCTTGCACTGCCCCTCCCTCGTCGTCATCCTCTCCTGGGTCTTGGGCACGAGTCTTCCGTCTCGTATCCATGCTTGGACCACTTCTAACACCAGATGTAGTAAGTATCGGAGGAGACGATGTCGAAGTTGAGACACACTGTTTATTAACTCCGGGACAGATACAATAGTTGAAGGGGTATCGGCCCCTTCACCCGTACTATGGGAAACCCACCCTAGTACTAAGCCCTCTGTCCTGTCCCCCAGTCCTCCTCTACTGGGCTACGGGAGGCTGACTGATCTGGCCCTGGCAAGCACAGATCTCGGCACCAGCTAACCAGCCTTGCCCTGACAAGGGCAGCGGTCTGGAAGCTCCTGGGCCGCGCCACTGGCTTACCCGGCTCGGCCCTTATAAGGACGGCGAGACCGGGGAGTCCCAGGGCCTAATCTCCGAGTCTTGGATCTTCACTGGTCAGCTTCGTGTCGAACTGAACTCGAGCTCTTTGGGTTCCACCTTTTATAGGGATCGCCTCCGAGGGCTGGGGCGTGGGCAATAACTGATGCGGACGTCGGTGTGACCACCCGTGTATGTGAGTGCCGACAACCCTGTGTTTGTTGTCCGCCGTTTCTCCCGTAATAACCCCTACACCTGCACTAAACATACTTAAAGTTGCTCCGACCTATATTGTAGCCATGGGTTACAGATGCATGCAAAGATAGATATATCAGCAAAATCGGAATAATTATAATTTAGTTTTTATCTTTGTTAATTGTATGGCTAGACAGCACACCCATCTATCCGATGACACATCCAGTGTTGTGCAACTAATATGCTGCTTTATATGCAAACTTGTCTCTCTCCCTTCCATTTCACATGCGTCAATGTCAAGGTTAAATTGTGAGGGAAAGAAAAACACCTCTCTTATTCTCTGCTTCGTGGAATAAAAGTGAGAATATAGGAGAGATTAATGTAAATCACAGCTGGGGTCAGATTGAATTGATCCGCGAAGACCTCTGCATACGGCCTCAACCAAGCCAAGTAGCGGTTTTGCTCATTGTAAATACAGTCTCTCACCTGCGACTAACATTTATTCCTGACCACGCAGCTCGTCAATTAGCCCTCTGACTTGGCTGTTGTTGCCCATGATTACACAGAGACTCCTTCCCCATGATTCTGGTGGCGAACAAGGTGGATTTGATGCATCTTCGCAAGATCTCCTCTGAGCAAGGCCAGGAGATGGCTGCCAAGTACAGTGTAAGTTTACCACTCTCCTGCCGCTTTGTTAGGGTGGAGAGGGCGAATGGTTGTGTAGTGTGCATGGCCCCACAATCACATAGGACACAGGATAAATTAAGTCATGCCGTGGAAAATAAATGCAAACACTGCTCGAGTTGCGTCCTAGTTATAATATTGGGCCCTTTGTCAATCCGCGACTGCATTTAAATGTTTGAGAATTGTTGAGTATAATGTTTTTTTGTCTAAATAAATTAACACCTTGTTGAGGGTATACACAGACTTTCTGGAGCATGAGCAATTCCCTTGTGGCTCCATGGGCTGCCACCTCTGTGATACAAAAAAAACAGGACATATCCTGGGAAGAAGAATATCGCACAATACTAGTGGAGGGGAAAACTGCATGTAAATGCATTGAATTGAGTTTTTTCTTATTATGCAATTGACAAAATTGGAGTCTTTTATTCCAAGATGACTTACATATTTAGCAGGACAGCTACCTCCAAATTAGCAGATCCTCGGAAAATCAGCACAGGTGGCAACGCGAGTGGCTGCATGTGTTAGTTGAGTTCACCTGTTGGAGTATTTTGGACTCGCTGCTGACAGAATCCCATGATGTGGAATTCTCATCTCATGCAGATCCCCTACATTGAGACAAGCGCCAAGGATCCACCGCTCAACGTCGACAAGGCTTTCCAGGAGCTGGTTCGGGTGATACGGTAAATGTCATGGGATTTTGTACATAATTTACACAAGAAGGGCTTTGCTTACGGCATACAAAACTGTAGGCTCAGGGCGGCACTGTTGTAAATAACGGAAGTCTGCCTGGACAGGAAGTCTCACAGTGAGCTTGGTTTGGTTTGGTTTTGTTGACAAAGCCGACATTGACTTGTCAAATGTAAGCAAGGCTCTCCCCTTTGTAATTCAGTTTCAATATCATCATCATCGTCATCATCCACTGCTGCATGGAGGCCTCCCCAAGCTGTCAACATCTCTCCCTGAATCCTACGATGTAATAATCCATTGAGCCCCTGCACACAAACTGATTTCATCGCTCCATCTCCCCCGGTGGATGGACTATTATGCGCAATCCCTTTCTTGACAGTCATTCCATTGGTTCAGTTTAACTTCATCAATAATGTGAACTTTTAATTGAAATGCGTAAGTAATATTTCTAATTGAGTATTGCCTGGCTGTTGCTTTCAACCTGGCTGAACAGTTAGGTGGTAAATACCTTCACTTGACTGATGGTGGAGTTGATGAACCCTAATGTTTTAAGAAACTCTTCCATTTGCTCCATTTTCAGTTTTACACAATTTGACAGCAATTCTAACGTTTTTTTTGTTTTCATGTGTCGGCTCCAACTACCACAGGCAACAGATTCCCGATCGAGACAAGAAGAAGAACAAAAAGAAAGACCGATGGAGACGTGAACGGTCGCGAGAGTCCAAGCTCAATTGTGTGTTGCTGTGACGCACCACGCAAAGCGGAGAAGCGTTCCCGCGATTATTTATACAACACGACCAGGGGAGCGAGCAGCCGTCAAATAACCTCCCCCTCCTCCCCCCCAGCCTGCTGAGAAGAGCACGAGTGTCCAGCTCGTTGTGTCTGCACATAACAAATGAATGCTCAGGTATGCGAATCAAGTTATGCTTTTACGACGCCGGGCAGCGAAACACTTGTTGGTGAGATCACGACGATTTTTGTTGGCCTGCTCAGGACGGCCCCGTTTACAGCACGACTGCATGGCCACATTTGGCTTTCTCACCAGCGTCAGTGCAAAACCGCTTGGCTGCTGCTCAATAACTGTAAGCCTTCATCTCAAGGGAGGTCAAGTGGAATTTTTAATGATAATTACAAAAAATGTGCACAATTTTTGGCCCATAAATTACAGATGTATCAGCAAATGTCACTTTCCCTTAAATCACGTGTTTACCAAATGCCTCTGCACTTGGTGTTGTGAGAAGGCCTTCTTTTGATACATTAAGCCATGGTATCAATAGCAGAATGCTCTTTTGTACCCACAATAGTCAAACACGGCACAATAGCTGCCAAATGTTGGCATGATGAGATTAAAGTTTGTTCCCGTGGGAATCTGTGGAGAGGTTTCGATTCACCCAGTAAAACGGGCACATTGTTGAATTGCATGGGTCTGCTTGGTGTGTCTAAATTGTGAGGAAAAATACAAAAATGCGATTCAAGAATTCCCACACGCTTGGTTGTACGACACCTCCACAGAGCCCCATTGTACGTCGTTTGGACGAACAGACGCACTGTAGCGGTTTCAAGAACACGGCGGGTCGGACTCGTCTGCCGTGCGTTCTATGGCGAACTGCCTTTTCTAAACACTAACAAGATGATCCGTGTTTCTTACCTTGCCATACTTTTTTTTAAATAAAAATAAGAGTAACTATATGTCATACTCCGCAGCACAGCATGTTTATACGTAAACATTTGTGAAAGTATGATGTGCACATGACTGTTTTAAATGTCTAAATGTATATTGTGCAAACCTTCTTGTTATAGAATTTTATTATTTGTGTGCATTAGCAATTCGTTGACCGCATAGTGCATTTGCTGCTGAGATTATAATTGTAGTCGTGGTCGGCAAATCAACTGCTTGGCTTGCCTCGGATGAAAGTCCTGAACCGTGTGCCTGAGCTCAGTCAATGACATTTCAATACACGGAGCCTACGCCATTCACCCACTGTTTGAAGAGCTCCGCGTTTGTCGAAGAGGCTGATCGAATGCCGCTTGAGCCACGGTCACGAGCCGCCGAGTCTCTTCAGCCACCCGCATCTAATTTATCTCTGCCCAAGTGACCTTGGAGGTCACATAACCACAGCCACCACGGCTTGAGTTGGAACCTCACGGTCGCCGTGTCGCTGTGAAAATCTGCGTGGAAGTGACTTTATATGCCCCCTCCATAGGGCAGCAAAAGAGATGACAGACATGTTAACTGGAAGCAGTGATAGAAAAAAAAACCTCGGCCAAAGTGTCTTGGCCAGATGTGAGCACTTCTGTTAATGGATGATTCCATTTATGGAAAAGCTAGCTTTTGTTTATAACTGGTGCAGATAGCTTATGGATTAAAACACGGAAAGATTAACATTTCAATGAAGTGACCTAATAGACTGTATTGGCGTGTGTGTGTGTACTATTGGTGTGTGTGTGTACTTGTGGGGGAGTGGTAGTGTAACGGTGAGCGTGCTGCGCTACGAACCTGGCTACCCGAGTTCGATTCCCGCTCACGGCCAACATCAGTGACGGTTATCTGAACCGGGCCTTGGCCTTAAATGAGTACTTGGTGCGATGTCTAAACATCGCCACTGGGGAGACAAAGGCGGCTGGGCGTGGTGCTGGCCACCCACCCCCTCGTGTGTCGTTCTGGCCTTCATAGGTGCTCGCTAACAGCCCTTGCCCCAACAGTCTGTTAAGGCTATACGGGGAGTCTTTGTGTACTAAGAAAAGAATGCATTAATTAATGGAATATAATTATTCACATGATACATACGCAAATTTGTGCATGCGAGAATTGATTATTTGCAAATGAAATGCTAATGTTACAACGGAGTGAGCAAAACTGTACAAACAAGACAGAGAAAATGAGATCAACACAAATATTATAAATTCATTGTGAATAATAATTCATATTCTGAACGGAATCGCAACCCCAAATTGTAAAAAATTCATCGCATCATTGAGAGGTGAATATTTACTCGTGTATTGTATTCAGAGCATACATTCACAAATCAATATATTACGCACATGCCACGATGCACGTACGCATGTTCTGCTGATTAGTATGCAATGGTTAAATTACAAGCGAAGTGGGAGACGTCAATCTGCCTTATTAACGATTAGTTCCGTACTAATGGGTTCACCCTTCCATTATGAAGTTGATGTAATACCCCAAATCTGCATGTTCGCTCATTACCCTGAGGTTGGGCAGTTTAATCGAGAGATCAGTTTCACAATTGATTGTATAGACCATGCCTCAGTGTCAGAAACCTCAACACCAGCTCTCTTGTTAAATAACTGTGGGGTTGTATTCATCCTGTTAACATAAAAACACTTGACTCTCTACTTGGGATGAGTTTGGGTTTAAAATGTCAAAATTTCGGATCTTTTTTGATTTCCGGATAATTTACAAGCTACAATATACCATGTATTTGTGATAACAATAGTGAGGTTACCCGGATATCACATTGACACTACTTTTGAAGGGAAAATAATGGAGGTAACATGATATGTGATGTCATGTCCTGTGACATTCTTTCGGATCTAAGACAAAACACAATTTTAGATCTTCCGAAATTTCGTATCTAGGTTCAATTAAAAATTTTGTTTGGAATAATCTAACAATCTGCAACATTCCCCAAGGCTGTACTAACATGTCAGCCATTGTTACACCGCGTGGCTATGAATAAGTGGTTGTTTTTAAATTTTTTTTCTAAAATCCAATACAGTGTTAGTCGTGTTCAAGGTAAGTTTGTGTTGAGCTGTTAATTATTGTTATCGAGCAGCTCACATTTTCATCAACGTATGAGTTCAATTGCGCAACTCACAGGGATTTAACATTTCACCCCTGGAAATTCAACAGATTGTCCTGATGTCGGGCCACAATTCAAGAATCGATTTATTATTAACATTTCCTCTAGTGGCTGCAGGGGTCACGTGAACCCACTACAATATACATATTTTAAAAAAACAATGACTTACGCATACGTTTAGTTGCATGCATCGTGAGCTTAACAATCAATGTTAATCGATTATATATCATTTCGCCATGAGCATTTCATTCTAAAATAATGTTCTCAACAAATTTTGAGTTGTGAGCAGTTGTTATCCTGGCCGCTGGACGTGGCTTCACTGACCAGGAGGTACTAGTAGCTACTCGTCACGGTCGTGCCTCCTCGATGGCGCACAGTGGTGCCCGGTCCATAGGTGTCCTATTCACGTGCTTCCACTTGCCACGAGACGGCGTGGAAGATGAGGCCTAATACCCTCTGGAGCTCCCTCTAGTGGAGGACCTTTCGCCAATAGTGGTGTGAGCAATCAATTACTTGGCAGTTTTGCGCGTCTGGGAACAGCAATGGCATTTGCACCTCTTCTTCTTAGTCGTGTCTCCTGTCCAACCTAGATAGTCTTTTCCCAATATTCTGCACAGGCCACCGTTTTTGATGTTGGCATTTCCCAATCTTAAGGAGTGCATTGTGGTGCTGCAGGGCATCTCACGAGATGGTCTAAGGTTTGCTTCTCCTGACAAGCACATTGTTCGTTTGCGCAGAAGCCCCATTATTTCATGAGAGTTGCATCTGCCGAAACCCACCCTCAGTCTGTTTATGCTGCGCCATGTGAGCCATTTGGAATTGGAGCCAGATGCGAGCTCATCACTGGGGGTGATTCCTCATGTCACTTGTCTACACACACACATTATTTGGTGATACTGCGTTGGCAGTGGCGCACAAAGGAATAAAACATGTGACAGGTGATGCTCCGGGCAATGTCCCTTCTTGAAAGCACAAAAGGTGCCATTATGCTATCGCGTGCTATGAAGAAGAGCCATTGCCCAAAACGTCGCCTGCTATATATTTTCCTTTTATCGCACAAAGTACAGACATGTATTCGCTCTGCGACAGCCGTTGCTGCGAGCACCTCGTGTTGACATTGCGCCACGTTGCTGCTGGCCACACTTGTGCAATATAATCTCTGGCAACCAGAGGCTCCAATTCTAACTGGGAAGAGGAATTATCTCACTGCGCCTTTCTTCCGAAAAGCCTCCCAGTGAGCTGTACCAGCCAGCGGTGGCACAGCGAAAACCCATCGTGTGCAACTCCCCCCCCCCACCCTCTCCTGAGACCTATCAGCCACACATACTCTGGTAAATTTGAAAATACAGTGATGAATGTGGCTGATTGCTGTTCATTCCTCCATATCTGTCCACCCAGCAGTATAAATAAATGGACACACCACAGTTATTCAGTCGGCCGGGTAATTGGTCATCGTGGAAGACTAAGCCGCTATAATGTCTAGAGAGTGCCTGTAGAGCTTTCTCTAGTGGAGGCCCTTCTGCCATCAATGGCATCCGCAAGCACTCGCAGGGCTGCACCTTTACCACTATTTGTTATTTAAGTGAGTTTTAAAAAGCCACTATTGACAGCCATGCTGACCTTATTGTGACTGCCAGGACTCTAGCGAAAGATGTATTTTCTAAATGTCCCTTTTGATCGAGTGTGACTTTTGACTGCTTTGTAGTCTGATCACATCACAGGATGGGATATAATCTGAGTGTAGCCGCCCACGAGCGGGTCAAGTTTGCTCTGTTGTATTTGACTATTTAATTGTGGACGAATGTACGCAACTATATTTCTATAAGTAATTATCTGGCTATTTTAGGTCATCTTCTCTTCGTAAACCTTTGAATCAATTTCGAACTCATGCTTAAACCATACGTTTTGTATTCTCCCAATACTCAATAACACCTCCTATCCTGCTTTTCAAACTTGTCGAAGCTAGATACAAGCTATAGAGCTACGTTTTTCAATTAATAATATTTGCCTTCACAAATTTCAAATTCTCTCTACGTATTGTACTGCATAAACACATCCAAAAGCTACGAACATGACTAATTGTGTCGTTGATGAATGAGAAATGATGGGTTGTGCTTCCTATTCTTATCCCAGGACACTGCCCCTGGTGCAATGGTTATCACACTGGACTAGCCATCCAGAGGTCACCGGTTCTCTTTGATCTCTTGGAGTGACAGTTCAAACAATGGGCACATTTCTTAACCCCCCTCAACCTCTGTCCTCCCTACCGTTTATGTACTCTACTATAAATAGGAATGCCACATTTAATCAGCAGGTTACGTTTAGTGGGGTAAAGTGTGGATACTCCCACCACGACGTTTCGTTAGCATGTAAGAGTAGGAGGCCATCCTGTCAGCAGTGACATAAGCAAGCACTTTTAGAGCTCGACCTTTGCCTATTCTAACCCCAAGAAGGAGAAAATGCAATGGACAATACGATTTGGATCTAATGTGTATACTGTCGAAATGTTACCGCATCTCAAAGGTTATTCCTGGCTGATAACCCCATGGACAGAATTACAGGGTTGGTTTTATAGCCGCTTAACCAACTTCCACTTAACATTCTTAGGGATAAAATATATGTGTTTTTCTCATTACCAAGACTTCACAATTGCAAGTAGAACACACAGTGCATTACACACAATCTACTACTGCATTCTTACTGCTGCTATTCACATTAGGTGGACACCTGTGAAAACGAGCTTTGTCGCTCATTGGGTTCTTCCAGCTTAAATCGAATGTTTGTTTCTATAGGTGGTGGTGATGCCACCATCTTGAAAGTTTGTTGTTGGTGATCGTGTCCACAAGCATGTAATTTTTTTCGGGAAGTTTCCATGATCCATTAATTTACTCTCTTATATTTGATTCATTTAAGCAGCTGTATCCTACAATTTTCCTTTTCTGATACGTGTTTTTACTTGTTAATAAGAAAGCAGTGTTATTTTTCCCACTGTGTTTTAATGTACAGGATTTTAGGAAAGACGTAATTGCATTGACCTTGAATGACAGTTTAATCAAAGCGTTTGTGTTTGATTTGTACACATGCCACTCGATCACACATTGATCACAGCATGCAGATTGTTGTATTTTTTCGTGTTTCTTTACAGATTTAATTTCCACTTTCAAATTGTTAATGGAGCGTGTTTCACAACATTTAAAAAATATACACATTATTTCGGTAAAAAATACCATCCACGGTTATAAAATGATCAGTATTCTTAGGTTTTTTTCGGTAAAGTCACGTAGGTAAAACATTAAAATTAATAAAAGTATAATAAAACAAATAAAAAAATTCACGACATTTCGGAAGCAACACAAGCCTCCGTCTTCAGGTGGAACCGTCACAGCCACGACAGCTGTATCAAGTAAATGAGAGATTGCAGGAGCTACCACTCCGTTTATATAATGGTTGGAGAGGGGGGAAGGGCCAAGTACAGCACACTTTTTATTCATATGGTAAGGTGAGGCTTAAGAGGGTGAGCCTTTGTTATGGAGAGGTACGGTTTGTGACTCAACCTGTGAAAAGGAGAAAACAACTAAACATGGTAAACCTGTAATAGTTGTCTGTCAAATAAGATTGGCCAAATAAGTGTAGTTAAATCTTTTTTGCATGGTTTTTATTTTTTATTTTATTTTACTTTTATTAATTTTTATGTTTTACCTACGTGACTTTACCGAAAAAACCTAAGAATATGAATCCTTGCAGTCACGAAAGCTTCAAATCTAGAATTAAATGATCAGTATTCTGCCCACGAATGCATAAACGTCTATTCTGAATTAGTTTGGTTTCTCACGCCCATTTCCAGGTGAGAATCTTAGGGAATGAATGTACCTCAAGACGAAGCTTTACGCTGAGGAAAAAAAAAATCCAACTGTGTGGGTTGTGTTTGCAGTTGTGCTGCATAGCTCGGTGCGTTTTCGGGTTGTACCATCTGTTGTTAGGCATGCTATCTGACGTTTCGCCCCATGTGTTGGGAGCTTGTTCAGGTACATTTCTCTACACGTGCTGAGAGCCACTTCGAAAGCTGTTGCTCTCAGCAACGGGAATGAAACGTCAGATATGCCACACAACATACGGTACAGCCTGAAAATACATCGGAGGGTTAAAACTGTATTCTGTGTGTGATGCCTACCTGCTGATAGTGTAGTATCCAACAGTTTGTGTAGGAAGCTAAAAGCGCCTTCTCTGTGGAATTCATAACATTTTATGTTTTTACTGCTCAGCAGTTTGTCAGATTGTCAATTAGTCCTTTAAATGTTAATTTCCCCACTCATGCCCACCGTACTTGGAGTGAGCGTTTGCCTTGGCAGCATTATTGAGAGGTTAATGATGGCAGAGAGCCCTCGTTAACCCCCGGGGCATTTATACAGTGTGCCACACTGGCCTTGCCTTCAAGCCATAGCAAAGGTGTTTCACAAAGTGCAGAAAAGACCAAAAAATACAGCACATTTGTGCCATCCCCATAGCCAAAATAACTAGTACTGTGTGCGTTAGCTTTGATATATATTTGTAAAGATTGTTTTTGGAAGGGGGGAAGGGGTTGTCGGGCTCGAATAACGTTGACTCTGGCCCATCATGTATGTCACGTTTTACATCATACAATGCATATACATCCACATTGAATCAAACATTGAGGCTGCCTTTCCCGAGCATTGCTCTGTGCAGTTATTGCACGATGCATAAGTGATCATTTGAGCTGATGCTGCTGAACCACTAGAACCTCGCTGTGCTCACAGCACACATGGTGTGCACTCAGCAAAGTGTGATTAGCTCAACGACCCCGACAGACTCCCTCTGCACGAGTATCTATCAAATTGTTGACTCAGTGAGCGATGATGTTCAGTAATAACACCACAACTGCGTGATGAGTTGCCGCCTTAAGTTTAACTTGTGAGATCCATTGCATCGTGAGATCGCGAGAGATGTTGTCTGCTTGGGGGATGCCTTCGTCTTGCAGTATATAGATCTTGGCTGATGACGATGTGTGCCATTATGCTGGCTCTTGCTTTCATCCTGCATGTTGTGTCGTTTCTTGGATTTGTCATTAACTTCTCATTTGCAAGCATGACCACCATGCTTTGTACATTTTTCTTTGTGGGTAAATGTGCTTTTAACAACAACAATAACAATAAATAAAATATTTCCTATGTTATGCACTGCTTGTGAATTGTTTTTGTACGTTTGATGTACGGTAATAGTTTATGTATTGTCATGCCATACGATGTCAATAAAATAGACTAAATGTCTCACTGTAAACCTAATAATCTTGTTTCATGTCTCTTTTATTTATTTACATCTAAGCAACAGTGAACCATGAAAATAAATTAATTGCATAAATCACAAAATTCATATTAAATTTTTGGTCCTTTGGATACAATGTAAACACCTAATTACTCCATTGACTTGCTTTATCTCAATGGTCATTTACTTTTTTAGTAAAACATTTCTAGGCTTTTATGATTCGACCCTTGGTAATGATTGTTTTAGTGACGTGACGTCCAAGTCACGTGTTGTCCAAGTCCAGTTATGTTTCTTTGTAATGCCAAGCATGAAGCTGCTTCTTTAGACACTTTTCAACTTTTCTCAATCTTCTTGGTCATTGTCCATGTCTCTAATCCATGTTATGGCATATAATATGCATTACCACGTGACATTTTCCAAAAACACTCCCCACCTCCTCTGATGAAGCCCCACTTTATTTTCTCACTTGGATCCTGGTCTGTCTTCAACAACTGCCCTCCACGTGTACAGTAGATACTTCTGATATGTATTCCAGTTGTGTCCCACCTCCAAACATCTTCAATTGTTTATGGAACCTTTTCCACATGACTCTTGTCTTGCACACATGTATCTTGATCCCGACATTATTATATTCCTCGGACATTTCCTGCAGTTGATTTCCTTTTGGATGGTAATGTAAACTTTTTTAAATCCAACACTGTCTTTAAATTATCAATGTGAATAGGTGGACGAATGCTTTGTGCATTGTTCTTGCTTGGAAGGAACTTTGTAAAACCCATACCAGACCACTAGGTCGTAGCTACAGCGACAACAATGAGAATGCGGTTCATTTAAACGTTTTAAACAACGCATATATTTAATAAATTAAACAAAGTATTGAAGTCCTTTTCTTTTGAGGAAAGGGAACGGGTGGAGGCTAGGGGATTAAGTAACAGAGTGGAAGAAACGGAACCAAACCAAATGTGAGGTGCAGAACAATGTCAGCAGATATAAATAACATTGTCTAGGGCAGTGGTTCCCAGTCTGTGGTCTCCGGAACACTGATAGACTACAAAGCCATAGGAAGTTGTCCGCCTGTTGCAGATATTTTGGATTTTAATTTCACGAAACAACATGTGTTCTGCTGCCAATTGCACAACATTTAACCGCAATTTTCGAGTAATCAGCCATAATCAACTGCTGGAAGAAGGCCTTTCCAATCTGCCACAACACCTTTGGTGACCTCGTGATGCAGAAATCCATCCTGCACCTGCACATGAACTGATGTCGTCACTCCATCTTGTTCGGGGGGACGTCCTCTCATATGCGTTCTATTCACTGATTAATCGAGAGAGTGAATGGCGACGAATCTTAAAACATCGGGAACAGATGAGAACTTGGATTAGCACACAGGACAGAATGTACACGTAAAGCCTTTTGAGTCAGTCCACTGCTGAATGAGGGCCTCCCGACGCCATGCAGGTTTGTAGGGGTTATTTGACCATGCTTCACCACACTGGTCAATGCGGATTTGAAGCTTTCGTGACTGCAAGGATTCATACTCTTTGTTTTTTTCGGTAAAGTCACGTAGGTTAAAAAAGAAAACAAATAAATTAAATCACGACGTTTCGGAGGCAACACAAGCTTCCGTCTTCAGGTGAAACCGTGACAGCAAAATTGCTAGATTCAAATTGATCAATCATTGGAAAGATGAATTAACCAAGTTAAACTTTAGTTACTGTGCAGTTTACTGATAGACAGCCAGTTTAGATGTATCTTCTTAAACATATCCATATCACCAGTCTGTTACCCCCAGCTCCACGCACCACCATCAACATCACCACACGTTGCTTATCATGTTTAGCTTCTTTTTTACTTTAGTTACCTGCTTTGAATTTTACCCACCCAGCAGCATCACAAAAGGCGGCTTAATCCTAGCTTGCTTATCTACTTCTGCCATCTACATTACAAAGGCTTAGTTCCAGCAGCAGTACTGACCATCTCACAACTACTCCTCTCCCGCAGCCCATCCTGGCTCCTCCTCCCTTAACCAGTCTTCAGGTGAAACCGTCACAGCAAAATGTCTGTATCAAGTGAAGAGAAGTCCCAAGAGGCACAACCTTATATACTGGCTAAGGGGGGAGGAGCCAGGATGGGCCACGGGAGGGGAGGAGTTTTGAGATGGTCAGTACTGCTGCTGGAACTGAGCCTTTGTAATGTAGATGGCAGAAGTAGATAAGCCAGCTAGGATTAAGCCTCATTTTGTTATGCTCTTGAGTGGGTAAAATTCAAAGCAGGTAACTAAAGTAAAAAAGAAGCTAAACATGATAAGCAACGTGTGGTGATGTTGAAGGTGGTGCGTGGCGCTGGGGTTAACAGACTGGTAATATGGATATGTTTAAGAAGATACATCTAAACTGGCTGTCTATCAGTAAACTGCACGGTAACTAAAGTTTAACTTGGTTAATTAAATCTTTCCAATGATTGCTCAATCTGAATCCAGCAATTTTCATGTGTTGCCTCCGAAACGTCGTGATTTAATTTTATTATTTTATTATTTCCATTCTACGTGACTTTACCGAAAGAACCAAGAAGGAGTATATGGTCAATGCAGGTTGGTGGAGATGGCAGAGAATAGACGTGATAGTAAAGAAAACCCAGTGCTGCCCTCTACTCCCAGCGAAGCCCCACTGCCTATATCACCTGGGATGCAGGATAGTAACCCATCACAACACTATCCAGGCTCAATATCTGCTTCACAGTGATTATAAGTTACTCAGATTAAACTGTACATGAGTAAATGTTCAGTGTTTTAAAGTTGTCAATATGTAAAAGTGTAACTCGTTATTTACGGTTCATTCAGTGTGAATTCGATGTGTTATGTATTGCATGTGCATGCGATTGTCTAATTAACAAACTGTGTAGACTGTTACTAATCATTGCTTACTTTACACCAATACACGATACTACTACTACTACAGACATGTTAAGAAAATTAAAACGTAGCGACCATTGATATTGATTTGCAATCTATAAACACGTTAATCGAATGTTGCGCTTAAGGTTATATTCATTAATGTCCCATCACAAATAACTCTCATTACAGTTATTTTGCTGTGCCTTTTTACACCTGATGAAGGAAGCTTGTGTTGCCTCCGAAACGTCGTGATTTATTATTTTATTTCTATTATTATTTCTATAATTTTTATAATACATTTTATTAGTTTTTTATTTTTACCTACGTGACTTTACCGAAAAAACCTAAGAGTATGAATCCTTGCAGTCACGAAAGCTTCAAATCTAGAATTATATTCATTAAACCCACTAAATTGGCAACAAATAACCGATCTTGCCCACGACTGATACTAACGACCTGATCAGTCCCTCCAGAAAAACGCGGAGTTTTTTGGTGATTGTTGCGGGCAAAAATCGTTGATTATGCGGCACGTTTTCTTAAAAAATGCGATGGAATATGCGGGATATTTATGCAATTTTATGCGATTAAATTGCGGAACTTGCAAAAATTGCGGGAACTTGCAAAAACTGCGGTTTGATGAAAAAGAGAAAAAAAAGTGATTCCCCCAACACCCTATTCACTCGGCTACTACTTTAATGTAAAGAGTCATTTCTTATTACTTCCTATGATAAGCAAGCATACTACATCACAGAAAGTGCTGGGAATATTTAAGTTCTCATCTTGTTTAATTTCAGACCTTAACAAACAGATGGCTCAAACTTACAAAACATTGAGTCGAACAAGTTCTGTAGCTTTACAAAATGAATATGCTACAACTTCTGTAAAAATGAATAAATAAAATATTAAAAAATAAAATGTGTGCTTCCTGTTTTACAGAGGTAGCTATACAAAACAGACATCTTCTGTTAAAATAAGTGTTTTCAGTGCACAGTAACGTAAGCAATACAGTAACAGTAAAGTCTTACAGTAATGTAAATTTACATACTACTAACAAAAAAGTGCAATCTTACAACTGTAAAGTTGCATAAACTCCTGAATAAAACTAACTACGTAGCCTCTAACACTTCATAACGTTCCCATGGCAACAGGGAAATGGCTGCGCTTGTGTGAAGTAAACGCAACATTTTTCAACTTTCTGCTAAGATATACTGTGACTTTTTGCAACGAAAATGCGGGGATTATGAAATCATGCAAGCCCGCATATTTTGCGCACGGAAATCTGCAATTTATGCGGCGAAAGTGCGGCGTATTTGAAAAAACGCGCCCCCCGCATAAATATGCGGACTTTGGCTGATTTTGCGTGGAATCTTGCGATCGCATAATCGCGTTTTTCTGGAGGGACTGACTGATATTCAATGGGACAATTCCCCAAAGGTGCCCTGGGACACTTCATCTGACTGAGATGTCCACAGAGTTGAAGCAGCTCACAGAATTGGAGGAGTGGAGTCCACGCGCGTCCTGCAGGGGGCGACGTGACACCAGCTCTGACGTCCTCCATGGGTGACGTTTCGCGCTCATCCCCTGGCGCAGGGAAGCAGCAAATGTGACGCTGCTGGTCCGTCCATTCGCTTAAGATTGCGGTGGAATTGTAGCTGTAGCTGCTGGAATCACATGAACTGCATTGCATATCGGTAGAGCTGATGTTGGGCCATTGCATTCAAGTCATTATGCATGCTTGCGGCCCCCCTTTTAAATGCCAATCCACTCCTAGATGAGACCCACCTTCCCCCCACTCCCACGCCGAAAGTCGTGGGGGTTATTTGACCATACTTCACCACGCTGGTCTGCAATGCATGTTGTGAAGGCGAGGAGCATAGAGGTGCAGTCCAACGATGATGGATTTTGCCCAAATTGCCACGTGCTGAGTCCAGATGAGGTCCGCAGTGGCCTATAGCACCTGTCATGCACGTTGGTTGACCCATCCAAGCACTGTCCACGTGCTTAGCTTCCATTTAGATTATTTAGAATATTTGGCTGCTATACATTTCAACATGGTAAGCCACTTCGTTGAGCTATCATTTGTGGTCAAGTTCTGAAAAATAAATTATGTGTCTCAGTCTG